AGTCCCTTATCAAATATACGACTTGCAAAAAATTTATTTGTGTGTTGTTTTTCCACTTTCTTTTTTTTTTTTTTTAAGATTTTATTTATTTATTTATTAGAGAGCGAGCGAGAGAGAAACAGCAGGAGAGGGGAGAGGGTCAGAGGGAGAAGCAGGCTCCCCGCCGAGCTGGGAGCCCGATGTGGGACTCGATCCCAGGACCCCGGGATCATGACCTGAGCCGAAGGCAGTCGCTTAACCAACTGAGCCACCCAGGCGCCCCGTTTTTCCACTTTCTTGATGGTGTTCTTTGAAGCACAGAAATTTTTAATTTAATGATGTCTGACTGATCTTTTTATTTTTATTTATTTTTATTATTTATTTATTTGACAGAGAGAGATACAGTGAGAGAGGGAACACAAGCAGGGGGAGTGGGAGAGGGAGAAGCAGGCTTCCCGCGGAGCAGGGAGCCTGATGCAGGGCTCCATCCCAGGACCCTGGGATCCTGACCTGAGCCGACGCCTAATGACTGAGCCACCCAGGCACCCCTGACTGATCTTTTTAAATAATTTTAGATCTTATGGGTACCTGGGTGGCTTAGTCGGTTAAGCATCTGCCTTCGGCTCAGGTCAGGATCCCAGGGTCCTGGGATTGAGCCGCTCGTCGGGCTCCCTACTCAGCAGTGAGCCTGTTTCTCCCCCCTCCCTCTGCCCCTCCACCTGCTTGTGCTCTCGCTCTTTCTCTCTCTCAAATAAATAAATAAAATCTTAAAACATAAATTTGGATCTTACATTTAGGTCTTTAATTTATTTTGAGTTGATTTTTGTATATGGTATGAGGTAGCAGTGCAATTTAATTCTTTTGCATGTGGACATCAAATTGTCCCAGCATCATTTCTTGAAGAGGCTGTTTTTCCCTATTGAATTGTGTTGGTACCCTAATAAAAAAATCAGTTGAAGGGCGCCTGGGTGGCTCAGTCGTTAAGCGTCTGCCTTCCGCTCAGGTCATGATCCCAGGGTCCTGGGATCGAGCCCCACATCTGGCTCCCTGCTCTGCGGGGAGTCTGCTTCTCCCTCTCCCACCTCCCCTGCTTATGTTCCCTCTCTCGCTGTGTCTCTCTCTGTCAAATAAATAAATAAAATCTTAAAAAAAAAATCAGTTGATTGTGAACGTGAGGGTTTAATTCTGGATTCTCAATTCTATTCTGTTGATCTGTAGGTATATCCTTATGCTGGTCCCACACTATCTTGAAGGTAACTGAATTTGAGCTGGGCCAAATTAACTGGACCTGGGAATGCAGAGTCCCAGAGCTTCCTTATCTTTCCATAGTGCTCTAGAACTTTAAGGTGCTTTCATACATATGAGTTCGCCCAAATCTTGCAGCAACTGAGATAATACATGGACACTCAGAAGGCTGAGTGGTATACCCCTAGAATGACTCAACCAGAAACAGTGGCGGTTCCAGGACCAACTTGTCACGTGCTCTCATTACCCTAGCCCATCGCCTCCTGGTTGAGTCCGGAAATTTGGGAGAAGGGAAAAAAAAAAAAAAAAAAAACAGAGACAAATTAGGGCCAAAATGATGGGAAGGGTGCAAAACACACTGATTATAAATATTTGACTCCTAATCAGCTTACGATAAAATTTCCTTTCTCCTGTATGGACAAGAAATGGAATGTTTTGGGTAATCCAGGGTTTTGCTTGGGTCTTTGCTTTTTCAGAGAATGAAAACACAGTGAAATACTCTCAACACGAAAACCACATGGACTGTAATTTAATCTTTAATTTTGTTTTTGTTGTCATTCTAGAAAACTCTTCAGTATATTTTAAAGCAATGTTTCTTCAAGAGTGGTCTGAAGAAAACCTCAGCTATCAGCGTCATCTGATAGAGGCGCTTGTTAAAAAATGCATTCTTCAAAACTCCCATCCACCGTGTGTCTACTGAAAATCACTGAGTGATTTTTTATGCACATTAGGGTTTGGGAACCACTGTTTTAGAGCAGTGAAAGTCAAATTATGAATATCAAATTATTATTGCACTCAAGAGATGCAGACATTCTGCTTAAAGGAGAGCTTCGGATCAGAACAGTAGATTAATGTACCCATTCCTACAAGTCTTTGCTAAAACATCACCCCTCCCTATAAATTTACTGATTTAAAATTGCTTATCACCCTCTTTTCCATGCCTCCCACCCTCCCTATCCCCCTTCCTTTCTCCACAGCACTTACCAACATCTGACATATTATTTATTTACCTACCTATCTATTTATTTATTTGTTATCTGACTCCTGTTTCTAGAAAACAAGTTTCACAAAGGTAGTACTAGGAATATAATATTCAAGGTAGTATCTGGCAGGTAGCGGGTGTTCAATAAATATTTGTTGAATGAATGAATGTGCCAAGTTGCATCTTAGTGCTTGGGCATAATGTCATTTGTCCCTTGGCTTTCTGGAAAGGATTTTTTTTTTTTTAAGTATAAAGCAAATTATTCTTTCATTCTCTGAGTGATGCTCAGTGTGCATAGTAGTAGAGAGAAAGAGCTGCAACAGCGTCCTCTAATCTCCTAATTCTGGAGTCTGGGCCAGTTGCTCTAAAGACCATTTTTCCTTAATACCACTGAGATCCTCAATTTACTACAAGGATCATGGATTTACAGCTGCATTGTCCTGTGAGGGCTACCCCTACCGAGAACGAAGTGGACTGAGGCAGCTAGGCTGAGATGAACCTATGGTAGGAGGAGGCTTCTCTAAGTCCACTGCGCCTCAAACCAGGTAGTGACAACAACTAGATGAGATGCTGCCTCCTCCAAGGACCTGAATGAGAACGCTAATAAATGGATCCTATCTCAATGAACTATATAGGCAGGCTTGGCTGGCTCTAAGTAAATGACCCTTACCCATTTCCTACCTCCAAGCCACCTGTCCAACAACATCAGCACACAGATCAATGCTCACTTGCCCCCCACCCCCTCCCTGTACCTCCCCACTGGCCCCATTTTACACACAAGGAACCTGAAGTTTAGATCTACCAATACCCGTTCCCTAACACGGGATTCCCTACCTGCTGACCTTCATCTGTGTCACTCCCAGGACACACCTGATGTTCCAGTTTTACTGTGGTGAAAAATACCCTGGGTGAGGTGCCCCCCTCCCCCCCAGTCCAGGGGATGCTGAGAAACTGTGGGGTAAGTAGGACAATAAAAACAGGAAAAAGCAAGTTTGTTTCTAGTGTTATGCACACAGGGTGGCAGGATATACCTGCTGAGTGTTCCCAGAAGGTCCCCAAGGAAACCATTAACTCGAGTCTCTCACGTTCTTACATGTGTGGTGGTTGGGGTAGGGGGAGGGAAGGTATACTGAGATGAGGGGGATGGGCACCCTTCCAGAGGTCAGGAATACACCCCCCAGAGCTGCTGTACACATTAATAAAAGGTGGATGACTGAAGGATGGATGTCAAGGTGAGTAGCAGGGGGTTTGTCATCAAGGGTTGTCACTGGGTTCTACAGGGTGGATTTAAGGTTGAGAAGGGGGAAGGAGTGGGAGGCAAGTTGGGAGGGAGGGGCTTGTGTGGCACTGAGATACCCAGCAGGGATGAGGGTGTGGGGGGAGTGGCTGTCTTGGCCTCCAGCTTTGACCCTTTCTTGGCTGGTCTCAGTCAGGGAATTGAGGAGAGGAGATGGATATAGGGAGCTGGGGATAGGGAGGGTGGCCTCCAGCTCCGGAGGTGATCCGAATGGATGTTAGGGTTCCCGGGCTGGAGGGAGGAAGATTTGGGGGAGGGCGAGGTGACTCCTAGGAGCCTAGGGTGAAAGTCCGGGAGGGGCTCTCGGAGACCCAGGAGATGGAGGCGAAGGGAGGAGGAAGGGAAGGCGTTTGCCTTCATGGGGAGTAAATCTCAAACTGAGGCGGATTGAGAGAAGTAACTCCAAATGCAGTGGGTAGGCAGCTGAGGGTCTTCCAATCCGATGGGGTTGGGCTTAGAACTCTGCAAAAGAAGGGGGTCAATCGGAGGGGAAGGTGCACAGCTGAGCCGGCGGCCTCCTAACCTGGAAACGGGAGGTTCTAAGCGGCACTGACCTCTCCCCCAGCCTCGGTGGGGAGGGCCGGTGAGCGTCCGGAACCGGCTTTCCCGAATCCAACCAGAAGTCTGAGTAGGGCTGACAAGTGAGGCAGGAGTGAGAGAAACAGTGAAGACTCCTCACACTGGGGGCTGCGGGTGGCAGCAAACTGGGAACCCGGGCTTGGAATAGGGGGATTCCTCAATAGACCATACAGAAGGGATTTGGGGGAGTTGAAGGGGACAGCAGGGGCTGGGAAGGGATTCAGGAAACTGGCACGGTTTCTACTGGGGTGCTGCTGGAGTCTCCCCATTCGAGACGCGAGGCATTGAAAGGGTTCCCCAAATTGGACATAGAGGATATGGGACACTGGGAGTGGACTCAGGGCTGCTGAGGGGGAGCCCTGAATCAGGCTCTGAGGAAATTGGGGGCAGCTTCTCATTCCCACTGGGGGGAATGGAGGGCTCTTCCACCAGTTGGAAAGCAGGGGGCATGGAAGAGGGGGGCACTGGGGCTATCTCCCTCCCGACCCAGGGAGATTGGGGAGCTCTTAAATTCTGGATAGCGGGGACCTGAGAGGGAGGACTAGGGGGTCCCCGATCCGGAACCGAGCTACCTTGAAGGCACCGGGAAGCGCTTCAATCCGGGAGGGCGTTCCCACGGCCCGGCCCCGCGCTGGGGTGGGTGGGGGGTGCGGCCGCGCCCTGGTCCCGGCCCGCCTCCGGATTCGGGGTCTCTCTCGCCCTCGGGGACCCGGGAGCCCGGTGGGAGCGGGGTCCGGACGCCGCCGCCTCCGCGGGCGCCCGGGCGCGCGGGCGAGCGCGGGGCTTTATGCGCGCAGGGCGGCGGGGGGAGGAGCCGGCAGGTCGGCCCCCGGCGGGCCCTCCCCTCGGCCGTCCCCGCCCGCCCGCCCGAGCGGGGTCGGGGGAGGGGGCAGCATGGCCTGTCCGTCCGGCCCCCTTCGCCGCGCTCCTCATCTGCCCCGCGCCGAGCGCTGCCGCCGCCGCCGCCGCCGCCGCTCCGCTGCCCGCGCCGCCCGCGGCTCCCGATGGAGACTGACGCGCCCCAGCCCGGCCTCGCCTCCCCGGACTCGCCGCACGACCCCTGGTACGGCCCGGCCCGGCCCGGCCCGGCCTGCCCGGCCCGCGCCCGCCCCGGCCCCGCCAACATGGCCGATCCGGGTCGGGCCGGGCCTCCCCGGGGCCCGGGCCCTCGCCCCCTGCGCCCTGGCGCCCGGCGCTCACGCGGGCCCTTTGTGTCTCTCCTCCTCCCGCAGCAAGATGTTCATCGGGGGACTCAGTTGGCAGACTACGCAGGGTGAGCGAGCCCGGGAGCGCCCGCCGGCCAAGGCAGGGCACCCTGGACACCCTCCCCCGGCTCCCCGGAACCGGACACCCCAGCCCGGCCCTGCGCCCTGCTGACCCCGGGCGCCCCCGCGCCCTCTTTCGCGCCCCGCCCGGGGACCCCGAGAGCGCAGGGCGATCGGCGAGCGCGCATGGCCCAGCGGGTGGAGGGGAGGAGATGAGGGGTTCAGGGGGCATCGGGGGGTGGGCTGGGCCCCCGGGACCCGCCGGCGGCAGCGCCAACTCCGCTCGCACCTGCGGCTCAAACTTTTGTGAGGCGGCTCCGGGAGCGGCGGGAACCCGGCCGGAGCCGTCCCCCCTCCAGCCCAGCTCGGCCCTCGGCTTCCTGGAGCCCCCGTGGGCGCCAGAAGGCTCCACGGGAGCTGGGTGAGGGCTATGGAGGGGGGGCAGTGGAGAGCGCGCAGGCTGCTTGGCGCGGGGGCGGCCGGGCCGCGGCCGGGTCACCGGGGGCAAAGGACGGGGGAGGGGGGGGAAGGGCGCGGGGCCCGAGCTGGTCCGAAGGCGGGTGTGTGGTTACAGAAGGGCTGCGCGAATACTTCGGCCAGTTCGGGGAGGTGAAGGAGTGTCTGGTGATGCGGGACCCTCTGACCAAGAGATCCAGGTGAGCCCCTCACCCCCGCCTCCTGCTCCCGGCTCGCCCCCCTCCACCGCCGCTCACTGCCTTGTAACCATCTGCCTCTCCCTCACTACCGCGCGCAGGGGTTTCGGCTTCGTCACTTTCATGGACCAGGCGGGGGTGGATAAAGTGCTGGCGCAGTCGCGGCACGAGCTCGACTCCAAAACAGTGAGTGGCCCTCCGGGCGTCGGGGGTCCTTTGGGAGAGGGAGGCCGCCAGAGGAGAGGGTCAGGACTCTCCCCCCAGAGGACAGTTGGACCGGGTCCTTAAGGAAAGAAGGAGTTTTCTGAGTAGAAGGGCTGCCAAGCTCCGAAACTTTGTCACCAGAGTCGGGGGGCGGGGGGCAAAGGGAGGATAAAAATCCCAGGCCTGCGGTGAGATGCTACACCCCCCCCCCAGCCCCTCCCTATACCTACTAATCTTGATGCCTCCCCGGAGCAGCTTGGGGTGGGGCCAGGGCCCTCCCCTAGCCCGAACTGGGTGAGTCAGGGCTGCAGCGACCCATCCCGTGGCTTCTCTGGACTCTAGAATTTGGCTCCCCACCACCACCATTCCAAACCAATGGCAAAGCATCACTGAATTCCCCTCCCTCTCCCCCCCCTTTTGGTCTATGAGCTCCCTGCTTTGTGTGGAAGACATGAACCTGCTTTGCCCGTGAAGGGATTTATGAGAAGGGAACTAGCGTGCCTGGAAACAACCCTTCTGAGGGCTGGATCCAAGGGGAGGCTGCTTTTCTGGCATTCAAACTCCTAAAACATTTTACTGCTGTCCCACTGCTCCCCAGTGGCTTGGGCCCTCCAGGGGGCGCTGGCCCAGGCCCCTGCTCTAAGGGAGAGGGAAAAGGAGAAAGTCAGAGGAGGGGTTACTCTGTGATGGGGTGACGGGAGGCCAGGGGGCCGGGACAGTGTGATCTCTCTCTCCACACTCCCCCACTCTCCTCCAGCCCCGGGCCTCCCTGCTTGGGTCAGTCACCAGCTCCTGTTTACCTGCAACAATAACTGGTTGTGCCCAAGAATTTGCTAAATTACCGCCTGTCCCCAGCTCCTGTTATCTCTGCCCAGTGGCTCCCACTCCTGCTCGCAGTAATGAGCAAATGAGGCCAGGCCTCAACTTTGCCGGCTCTGAAAGGATCTTCTTGGCGCAGACTGAGTGACCCAAGCCGGGAATGGAAAGACAGTGCCCTATTGTTTTTGGTGATTATCTGCCATCAAGCTGCCAGTTCTCCTACCATCCCCTGTCCTCAGAATGCACTGATGGCTTCAGCAGAGCTCAGGAAGCTGAGATTTAGGGACTGGGGCTGGGTGGGGTGGGGGGGTCATGGAAGATTGATAAGGAGAAGAGAGAAGAGGGGAAGGAGGGTGTGATGGGCATCCTTCTGAGGTTTGGGACTCAAAAAGGCAAGGGCTTTGTGTTTGGCATTCGCTGGCCTGGGAGAGGGGGGTGGGAGGGAGGTTTATTGTGGGGAGTCTATTCTGGGTTTTGACTTTCACCTTTTATTTACTTGTTGGGTTTTATTTATGTTACCGGCTGTGAGTCAGAGTGGAGGTGGGGTGTGTCAGGGATCGGGTGTGCGTGGGTCTGTGGGACGTGGCTTGGGTACCATCTCCCCATCAGGGTCTGCGCAGGGGGACTGTCTGAGGTGCTCTGGTGGCTGGGGAGGCTGCTTCCAGGAGAAAGAGAAGGATGAAAATGTCCATAGAGGTACGAAATCACACCTTCAGACAGGGGAAATGGGCAGTGGTGATTTCCCCTGAAGCCCAGTGGGACTTTGGGAGAGAGGAGACATTGCCCCAGCATGGATTTTAGAGGTTCCTTCTCTGTGGGCAGATCCAGTGGGGGAGCCCAGAGGAGGCTGGTCCCTGGTTCATGCCATTTAGGCAGAGAGGAGCCAGCGCCGGTTGCCTAGAACGAGGCTGAGTTTTGAACGGAAGGAACTTTGGGAAAAGATAGATCTTCCCTGCGATTGGCTGGTGAACTTCTGAGTGGTATCCACCCATGTGGATGGCAAGAAACTCTGGAATGACCAGGCCTCATAGGTCCTGCATTGATCACAATGTCTTGCGCCCTGGCTTTTTCTGTTTATCAGTACCCAGGAGCACCCAGGTGCATCTTGCTTTTCTCCTTTGGTTGTTCACAGCCAAGGGCAAAGGTGGCCCGCTGGTAATAGCACCTTTGTTTGCGCAATGAAGGGCAGTTCACAAAGGGCTGCTTTCACCCATGTTATCTCATTTGATTCCCCATGGCTGCCCCTGGGAAAGTGCGTGTGATTATCCCCACTTTGCAGATGAAGGAACTGAGGCTCAGAGGGGTGGGGAAGTTACCAAAATCAGAGGCTTGGCCTGGAGCCCAGAGTTTCTGATGGAGTCCAAGTCCCATGCCCTTGCACATTACCAAAGGCTGCACTCTGATTCACTCCAAATCTGGCTGCATTATCAGGGAGCTGTTTGCTTGCAGCCTCAAAGAGGGCTGTTAGATGTCGATAGCATTGGGGGAACAGAACTGAGTCCATTCCTGGTGATTTATGAACTCTTACCTTGAAGCAGAGTATTTCCATCCACAAGGCTTCCAAAGTCTGGATTCCATGCCTCCCGTAGACAGGCATCTGTGTGAAATCAGTTAGGTGAGGAGGACCCTCGAGTACCCTGTGCTTGAAGAATTAAGACTTTGCTTACTTTGTTGGGGTTCCTGCTGTGAGCCAGACCCCTTGCCAAGTGCTTTGTAAGCATTATCTCAAATAGTCTGTGGAGGACCCCTTTGAGATGGGTGTTACTTTTTGCCCATTTTGCAGGAGAGCTTGGCCCTGAGGCTCAGAGAGGTTAAGTAACTTGCCCAGGGTCTCACAGCTGGGAAACAGTGTAAGTGGGATTTGAACCCAGCAGCCTGGCACTAGGGCCTAAATGCTTAACCACTATACTTTTCTGCCAGAGGCTGTGGTGATTTCTGTCCCCTCTGTGTCACCTCTGTGTCCTGGGATGAGAGAAGTCCTCAGGGCTGAAGGCTGTGTGGTCACCCATCTGAAGTGCGATAACCAAGGCCCCTTTACCTCTCCGTTCTCTTTCAGATTGATCCCAAGGTGGCCTTTCCTCGGCGAGCACAGCCTAAGGTGGGTATGTCTGGGTCTGGGAGGAGCTGTGCTACTTCAGGCAGTGATTCCCTTCTATGGGAGATGCTTCTGGAACCTCTGTTTGGAGTGTTTCTGGAATAGACTGGGATGGGAAGAGGGAGGATTCTTAATGTCCTTGCTCTGTGGGTTGAAGACATCCTGCATCTTTCCATCTGTGCTCTGGGGTGGACTGGGAGGGGGCTGCATGTATTGGGAGAAGGAGGAACCCCTCAGGGGATTCATTGTCCTGTATTGAAGCCAGTACACTTTGGACCCTAAGTCGAATTCTGACCTCATAGATCACAGTGGCTAAACCCAATGCCCCTGTGGAGGTCAAACCCAGGACAGACAGCCCCTGAGGCTGAGCTAGTGTCAGGCCAGGGAGCTATCTCTGACCCCCCAGTCACCTTCCTACCCCTGGGGTTCACTGTGTTCAGCTTGCAGAGGGGCAAGGGAGCATGGAGTAGGTCACCTCTTGTCTTTCAGCTTGGGTGAGTGGCTACCCTCTCAGTCCTCTTTCCCCAGTGTTGTGGCAAGTTTTTCTGGGTGTGTGTGCATTCTGAGCAGTTGAGCTACATAGCATTCAAGACTATTGGTGCAGTGTAGGGGCCTGAGATTTTATTCCAGGCCCCAAGGCAAATAGCCAGATCTTAATTTTTAAATGGTGAAATATAGGGGACAGGAAGGAAGGCTGATTACAGTACAGGGAGCTGAGGACCCCTGAGTCTGCTGACTTAACTTGTGTCTTAGGACTAGGTCCCCCTTCGGGAGATCTGTTTCCCCCTTTGCAAGGGGTTTGGTAGGAACCAGGATGCTTTAAGGTTTTGAGCCAGTGGCTTCCACCATGGTGCCCAGCTCCTGCCACAGCGAAGGGAGAGGGACACGTTTTAGGAGACAGGAAGGGGACATCTCTAGAAGGATCCAGCAGAGGGCCTGAAAGCAATTATGGAGCAGGTATTCGAAGGAAGCCGCACCAGGGAGCACATGGTCGGAATTGGGTTAATTCCATTAAGCAGTTTGGTGACAGAAGGTGCTTTAGTGTTAGGATGGGGCTGGGAATTGCTGTGGATTAGCCATGCGCTCCTGGGGTAATTAGGACCATGTGTTCTTCCTAAAACAGGGCTGGGGCCACAGGGCTGCCAGAGGTTGGGTTGGGAGGAGGTTGATGAGGAAAATGTCGGCGTTGAGTTCAGGGGAACCCTGTGATGGGCCTTGGTCTCTCCCACGGGTGCTGGTGGGGTCTCTGAGTTACACTGTAGGTCTGGGGTACTAACCCGCCCCCTTCCCTGTGTTGGTCCTTCTGGAAGGCATTTTCCCCTACACAGACCCCAGGGATGCAGGCGGGAGGGAGGCACACTCAGGCCAGCCAGTGTGTGGGGTGCACAGCTGCCCATGACAGGCCTAGAGGTGGGGGTCCAAGGGGGAACTGGGGGGGCTTCCGAGTAGCTAGGGCCACAGAGAGCTTGTCAGCTGGTGCCCTGGCAGGAGGGCTCGAGCCCCTGCTGGTGGCAGGAGGCCACAGGACTCAGATGCCCACTTTCTCATTCCCTCCCCTTAACAGATGGTGACTCGAACGAAGAAGATCTTTGTGGGGGGGCTATCAGTGAACACCACGGTGGAGGACGTGAAGCAGTATTTTGAGCAGTTTGGGAAGGTGGGTCAAAACTGGGGGTGCTTGCTGGGGGTGCTTTCAGGGGCTGTGGAAGCCCTGTAGCATTGGTCAGTACAAGCAGAGGCCAGCCAGGTCATTCCAATTCCTGCAAAAAAGGTGAAAAGGGGACTGGGTCCTTTCGTGGGTGAGGCCAGGCTCCTCACGGTTCAGGCTCCTTTCCTATATTAGGGCCTCAGCCTCTGGACACATCCCCAGGGAGAGAAGCCACACAGTAGCTGTCCCTGTTGTTGCCCTCCCCCTGTGTTTTTCTCTTGCTTATCTTCATTCTCCCGAGGGAGGCTGCTCTCCCCTAGCCAGTTCAATCCAGTCACCCCTTGGCCTCCTGGGAGTTTGCACCTGTCCAGGCCACGGGCGGTTGCACCTTCCCCCACTCCTTCCTGGTGAGGATGATAAGGAGGCAATAAATATGATTCCCAGTTGCACTCAGCGCCCAGCTTGCACAGGTGGGAGCTGGGGGGGAGGTGGTGATCCCCTAGCTATTTGAGGGGGAGCACTGAGGAGAGCACCCTAAATTCCTGATCAGGCCCAGCAGATTGGCTCTCCGCTCTGAGGTGCATTGAGCTTAAATTTCTGGACCATTTAGTTTATGAAGGAGATGTGGCATCATCAGACAATAGGTTGTCCCCAGAAAGGTGAGTGATGGGAGCATCCAGGCCCCATGGGGCTATGGCAAAGAGGGGGCCAAGTTTTAAGACTGGGGGTGAAGGAGGGCTGCTGTGCTTAGGGCTGGGGTCCCTGGTCTTCGATGACGTGAGACAGACTACAGGCTGGGTCTCTACCTGCCCAGCAAGGCATTTTCAGTTGCCTGCTAGGCAAAGGGCAGCGGCCTTGGGAATGGGATGTGAGCTGGGGACCGGCCGGGCTTCCAGGGCCCTGTCTCTAGGGGAGAAGAGGAGAGGGTGGGAGGTCCCCTGGCCAGCGGCTGCTGGCGGCGTGGGGGCCAAAGGCCCGGGCTCAGGCGCCTCCGTGGGGACCCGGGTGCAGGACGGAGGGCAGGTCGGCGGCCTGGGCCCCAGAGGGAAGGGCGCTCCTGGGAAGCAGCAGGCCCGCTCGGCTCCGGCGGGGTGTCTTTGTGTCTGAGCGCCGAGCATTAGAGCTCGCACTAATCTGATCCAGCAGCTGTGATTGGAGGCCGCCTGCCCCCGGGGCCGGCGTTGCCATGGCAACCGGGCCCCAGGAGAAGCCGTCAGCGGCCGCGTCTTTTGTTCGGGCCTAAATCGGCGTTGGCATGTGAAACCGGCCCGGGGAGGCCAGGGGGAGCCGGAGAATAGGCTGCCAGGGAGCGAGGGGGACAGCCGGGAATGCCAAGGGCCCCGCGGCGGGGGGCCCCCCGCCCGGATCGAGGGGCCGCCGCCGAGGGGGGAACAATGGTCAGCCGCCATGGCTGCCACTCAGGCTTAGCGGCCGCCGAACTTGGCGGCTCCCACTGGTCAGCAGGCCTCGGCCACCTCCCCTCCCCCTGCCGGAGCCCCCCTGCCCCCGGGTTCCCATGGAGACCAAAGCCTATTAAGGACACTGGGCTGGGAGCCTCCCTCCCCTCAGCTGGCCCCAGGAGGGGACACCAGTGGGGGTCCCCTGGACCCCCAGCCACTTCCCTTGCTCCTTGCCCTGGCCTCAACCCCACTGCCTCGCTAGGGGTCTGTCCAGCCGAGGCCCGGTTGAAGGGTCTGGGGGGCCAGGAATGGTGGGAGCTGGAGGGTTGGGTGAAGGAAGGCCGGACGGCTGTGGATTGGGGCTGAATCACTTTGTGGGTCAGGCAGGAACTCAGAGCTGTAGGATTAAGGACGAGGGTGTGGCTTTTATTCATTCATTCATTCAAAAAATAATTACTGAGTACAAGTCAGGGTGCTCGATAGGATGGCCATCACCATAGCTGGCCTGGGTGCTGTCCTAATGGAACCGTCAAAGGCAAGGGGTGTTGGGTTGCTCGCTCTCTTGCTTTGCTTCTCCCTCACGTGACTGTGGGTGAGCCCCTCCATAATAAAGGTCAAAATAGCTGTTATTTATTAAGCACTTGCTGTGTCCCAGGTAACGTGATTTCGTGTTACAGGTGCCATGTCATTTAACTCATCTGTACAATTGATAAACACTGTTATGCCCATTTTACAGATGAGGAAACCTAGTCCAAGATTACCCAACCAGCAAAGGCAGGGATCTTGGATTCCATTTCCAGTCTGTCCTACTTAAAGCCTGTATTTTTATCACAACTCTCCTTTCTAGATTTCTCTTTTCCATTGTTTAGGCAAGGGGGTGGGGAAGATGTGTGGAGCCTAAAGCGTCTGCCCAGTTTGGACGGTCTAGCTGATTTGGGATTGGGACGCAGAGTGGGTCCATAAGGATGGGAGTGTCAGAGGCACTCTCCTGCCGGCCCCTGGAGCAGGAAGCTCCTTAGGGAGGGAGGTGTCATTTCCCTCTAAGATCCTTCAGCGACCCAGCTGCCTCCTGACTTAGTGGGGTCCTGGTTCTCCCAGGGGGGCGTCAGAGGCCTGGTGCTGCTTGGCACCTAAGGAGAGCTGGGGGGCCACACTGTTCAGGGGCTGCCTTGCCACTTTAATGAGGCAGATGACAGGCTGGAAAGAGAGCCAAGGAGAGTGGAGGAGAGGCTGTACCCCATGGCCTCAGGAAGTTTTCCTTCATCCCTTGGGTGTCTGACCATTTGGGGGAGGGTCAGCGGCTGAAGTGGGATGTGTGTGTTGTGGGGGGAAGGTATCAGAAGCAGCCCTTGATTTCCACCCAGGACAAATCAGACCTTAGCTTAACCCCATGAGGTGGCTGACATTGGCTGAAGAATTAAGAGGACAAGGAGGAAGCATGTGCTGTAGGTAAAGGGAGGGAAATGGGACTGCAGGAGGGAAGCTAAGGCCTTTGGCTGCCCATGTATCCAAGGGGATGCCTTGAGGGAGTAGCAAGAAGAGGAGACCGGGATGCAAGGGAGGGGGGTGGATCATGTAGCCCACCCCCCTTCCTCAGCCCCCTGCCCCTCCCCCAGTCAGTGGGAGGCAAGCAGCCCAGGCACTGAACTCTACTTGCTTTAATTACAGCCTCTAGCAAAAGGAAACCTCAATTAGAGGAAAAGATCTGTACCAGGAGAGGGGAGTCAAGTCTGGCTGGAATGGCTGCCGTCCTCCTGGCCTTTTGCAGAAAGGGAAGAGGCTTTCATTTCCCCGTTTCTATCTTGCTCCCACGTTGCCTTCTTTAGCACCCACTCCGCGCCTCCTCCTCCTCCTCCCAGGCTTGGTCTAGGATTTGCTGTGTGACCTTGGCCTGGTGACTTCACCTCTCTGAGCCCATTTCCTTATCTACAAAACGAGGCGCTTACATTGCAGGGACTGTAGAGAGGATGATGGGGCAAAGTGCCAGGCACATATTTGGTGCTTCATATTTGCAATCTGGTCCATTGAGAATCTGGTGGTTGGATGGGAGGTGCCTTGGCATCCAGGTGGGGTTGCAGATGCAGATGCACAGGGAGCAGATTTAAGAGAAAGCCTAGCCTGCACGAGAGGGGCGTGGGCGTGGGAGCGAGCCCCTGCTGCTGTGTTGTGGCGGGTCCCCTGGTTTCTGGTGGGTCCACCATGGCAGGCTCTGTTTCAGGTGGACGATGCCATGTTGATGTTTGACAAAACCACCAACCGGCACCGAGGTGAGTGTGGCCCCCTCCCCCTTTCCAGGCCAGGCTGGGGGCCTGTGGTCAGCCAGGGGGCTGCAGGTCACAGCTGCCCTTTCATCTTGCCTCCTGACATCCTATCCCCAAGGATCTGCATCCTCTCCGGGGCCTGGCCTTACAGAAGGCTTTTGTCCCGCCGTTTCCTGTGCTAGAAACTTGCCCAATTGCAGACACCCGAGAGGAGCAGAGGAGCAACCTCCCCCCTTCCAAACTGAGCCTTCAATGCCCCCCCCACGCCACGCCCCCCACGCCCCCGCCCGAGCTGGTGTCTGCTGGGGCTTACCTTGTCCCTGGTAACCAGAGCTTAGGCCAGGCCGCCCCAGGGTCAGGCTGACTCCACAGTCCGCTCCCGCTCCCACCCCCACCCACGGGCTGAGCCCAGCCCCCAACCCCCTTGCCCCTGAACCTGTGAGCATCTGGGCCACAGTGTGCATTGCCCGGTTGTTTTTCTCCCAAGGGCCTTGCCTTCTGAGAAATCCCATTCCAACCCCTGGGGCACACCCGGGAGGAGGTGGGGTTGTTTCTCCAATTGCTTCAGGGTGTATTAGCCTGTTTGGGGATTGGGATGTGTGCTGGGGTGTGCACGTATGTATGTATGTGTGTGTATTTGTATCTGTGCACGCGAGGGTGTCTGTGTCTGAATATTTGCATGTGTCTTGTGTGTCATGGTAACTCTTCATGTGTAGGGGGGCCTTTGTGAGCGCTGCCAAGTTTCTGTATGATGTATGGGTCCCTAGGTATATGTGTGTGTGCGTACATCTGTGTATATGTGTGACTGTGTACAAACATAGGTTTGGGTGTGTACACTTTTGTGTAAATGTATGTAAGTGTTTGTGTGTGTTCTTCCTTCCTTTGGAAAGCATCTGAGAAAGCGAAAAGGCATGTTGAGTGTATCTTCATGACGGCCCTAACGCTTTCTAATTTGCTGTGTGACCTTGGACAAGTCACTTCACTTCTCTGAGCCTTGGCTTTCGCATCTGTAATGTGGGGACTAGAAACCCTGTCTCAGCAGGAGGGGAGTTGAGAGGTTCCTAGGCTGTGGGCGGAGGCTTCCGTTAACTCTCGGGCACTGGCCCGTGAAAGAGGAGTACTGATGTGGTATCACTCGGGGCTGGGTTTTGACCATAAACCCTGGTTTTTGTCCCTGCCTTTGCCTTCTAGGGTTCGGGTTTGTCACGTTCGAGAGTGAGGACATCGTGGAGAAAGTGTGTGAAATACACTTCCATGAAATCAACAACAAAATGGTGAGTGGGGGAGACCGGACGGGTGGAGGTGCACAGAGAGAGACACGGGCGCTCGGAGGTTCTGGAGGCAGGCAGAAGGGAATCACAGTCCACGGGGCAGAGCCAGTTCTCCCACCCCCTGAAGATCTGGACAGGAAGCCAGTGTCTCCTGGTGGTTAAAAAGCATGGCTCGTGGAGTCAGAGAGTCCTGGATTAACATCCTCACTCTACCACTTGCTAGTCTGTTTATTAGGGAGATGACTTCCCCGCGTCTGAGGCAGCACTATGCCCCCTCCTGGGCTTGGTGTAAGCCCTAACTGCCTGCAGAACTGTTTACATGATCTCTAGCGCCCAGCGAGCACGCCATAAATGGTATCTATGAACCTAACAGGAAGGAGGCCGGCTAGGGAACCAGAGGGTCTACGACCCTACGTCCGGAGGAGGGACTGACCATCAGGTCTCATTGCAGGTGGAATGTAAGAAAGCTCAGCCAAAAGAGGTGATGTCGCCGACGGGCTCAGCCCGGGGGAGGTCTCGAGTCATGCCCTATGGGATGGACGCCTTCATGCTGGGCATTGGCATGCTGGGTATGTGCTAGGCCTGCATGTGTGGCTACTTCCCACCCGCAACTGCTCCCAGGGCTCCCAGGGGCTGCGTACGTGTTGCCTCTCCTCTGTGGCCTGCCCTCCTGCGTGAGTCACCGGGCAGGAGTGGGGACCAAGGATCTCAAGCCTCCAAGCCAACCCAGGGTGGGGCCATTGGGTTGTGGGGTACTGCCCTCTGGCGGTAGCCGGAAAATGGCCCAGCTGCTCCTTCATTGATCCTTCTGTCCATCTGTCCCATTTGTTCATCCATCCATCCATCCATCTCGTAGTTACTGAGCAACTATAAATGCTAGGAACTATGCCAGCAAATATAACAGTGACTTTCCTTGGAGCTTTGTGGTCTGGCAAGGAAAACAAGTAAGAATATAAGTAAGTAGGGTTAGGATGGAGCAGTATAGGGGGCCAAGAGAGAGCATGGGCATAGAGAACTGGGACCGAGGTTTGGAGAAGCCAGAAAGGAAGTTACATTTAAGCTGAGGGCTGTGGGGTGAGTAGGTGCTAGTTACAGGAGGTCAGGGGAGAAGGGAAGCGTAAAGTGTTGTAGGCAGAGGGAACAGCATTTACAATGACCCAAAGACTTTGGGGAGAGTGAAAAGAAAGCAGCTGCTGCTTGTTCACCCAAATAATATCTATTGAGCAGTTTCTGAGGGGCAGGACCTGCCCTCCTGGGCTTACCCATCAAGCGGGAGGCAGGAGTCAAAAGGCGATGATAGCATATAGTGATGGGAGGCTGTGGGAGGCCCAAGGAGGCACCCAAAACCCACCTGGTGGTCCAGGAGGCTCCCTGGAGTAAGTGCAGGTCGCCATGTGCCTTGGAAGGGGAGTAGGAGTCAGCAGTGTTTGGGGCCCACAATCTGAGCTGGGCCGCCCAGGAAGCTCGCAGTCTCCCTGGAGAGACAAAATGCGTACACACAGAAAGAGAACAGTACAGAGGAATCTTTTTGCCAGGTACGGAGGGAGGGGTGCTCTGGGAATTCAGAGGCAGGAGGTGGTGGGTGGCATGGCCTGGGCTAGAAGGTCGGGATTGAGATCACAGATAGAGTGGGTGAGGAGAGCAGACTCCACACAGGGCACTGTCTTCTCTTGAAGTTGTCTTTTAACTTTCTATTTGGAAGTAATTTCAAAATTTCAGAAGAGTTGCAAAAATAACATAGTACAAAGAATATCCATATACCTTTTACCAGACTCACTCGTTAATACTATACCCCATTTGCTATCACTTGCTCTCTCTCTATATGCGTGTATATGTGTGCATATATTGTATGTGTATTCACACGCACACACACATACTCACACACACAATACTTTGGTGATTTTCCACTGAATCCTTTGAACTTAAGTTAAATGCATTATGGCCCTTAACCCTTAAATACTTCAGCGTGTATTTCCTAAGATTAGGGGTATTTTGCTCATGAAGCCACGTGATAATAATCCACTTCATATATTTATGTCGCTCCAATATTTTAATCTATTTTCCAATTTGATCAGTTGACCCAATAATGTTCTTTATAGCACGTTTTTGCCCTCTCAAATAAGATCTGGGCTAGAATCAGGTATTGCGTTTAGTTGTCTCGTCTCTCTAGCCTCCTTCAGTCTGGAACACTGAGACCCGTTTTCTTTTCTTTCTTTTTTTTAAAGATTTTATTTATTTATTTGAGAGAGAGAGAATGAGAGACAGAGAGCATGAGAGGGAGGAGGGTCAGAGGGAGAAGCAGACCCCCCGCTGAGCAGGGAGCCCAATGCGGGACTCGATCCCGGGACTCCAGGATCATGACCTGAGCCGAAGGCAGTCGCTTAACCAACTGAGCCACCCAGGCACCCCGACCCGTTTTCTTTTCAAGGTGATTCATTAGCTGGTTTCACCCCATTTTAAAAACTGACAAAGAAGGAAATTACACCAATACAGGATTTGGTGGTTAAGAGACTTGGAACCAGTTAGCTCTGAATGCGAATTCCAGTCTCGTTATTACTATATGATTTTTCCGGCAAAGCTGCACATTTTATTAGATGCATACAAGTAGCAGGCACCGGAAGCTTGTCCCAGAGATACAGAAATAAAAGATGGGGAAGACAGATAATCAGCTCTTTTAAAAAAAACCGGGAGGGGCACCTGGCTGCTCAGTCAGAGGAGCGTGTAACTCTTGATCTCAGAGTCATGAGTTTGAGCCCTACATTGGATGTGGAGATTACTTAAATAAATAAATAAATAAATAAATAAATAAATAAATAAATAAATAAATAAATAAATAAAACCTAGGATAAGTTCAGATAATGATCATTGGTGCTGTGGGGTAATTGATAAATATTGTAACTGATGGGAGGGAGGACTCTTATAGAATGACCTCTCCAAGGAGGTGACATTTGAGCTGAGACTTGTATAACGACAAGAACACAGTCATGGGAAAACCTGGCAGGGGGAGAGTGTTCCAGGCAGAGGAAACAGCCTGTGCAAAGGCCCTGAGGTAGGAAGGAGCTTGGTGGCTTTGAGAAACAGCAGGGAGGCCAATGTGACTGCAGGAGAGTGTAGATGAGGACAGGAATGAGGCAGGAGCCAGAGCACGAAGGGTCTTGGTAAGGGTTTGGACTATTCTCAGCCAATATGTCACCTCTCCGAGCCTCAGTTTTCCCCATCTGTGAAATGGGGCTCCTAATAGTACCTGCTTCTTAGGATTCTTGTGAGGCTGAAGGAGAGAATGAAGTATGCAGTGGGCTTAGCCCAGGGCTTGGCATGCAGAAGGTGTTTGGTAAATGTGGCTGTTATCTGTGCTATGAGGTGGGGAGGGAGACAAGTGGCTCAGATCCTTCCCCACTGAGCAGGGTCTGAGCACTAGGTGAGGCATCTAACACTAGCCCCCTTGCCCTATCAGGTTACCCCGGTTTCCAGGCCACAACCTATGCCAGCCGGAGTTATACAGGCCTTGCCCCTGGCTACACCTACCAATTCCCTGGTAAGTCCTGCTTGGTGTCCCTCTGTTGCCAGCATGTCCCCAGTTCCTGGGCAGTCTGAGTCCTCAGGGCGGTGTCTGGGGGTGCATGGCTGGGGGGGTGGTCTGCCTGCTGGAGGCTTGGAAGGAAGGGCATGTCTGAGGAAGGAGCACCTCTCCCCACCATCCCCTCCTCCTCTCCTCCCCAGAAGCTGGGGATAACCCCCTCCCACCCCTGCGTGGTCCTGCATGGCACGGTTCTCTCCCAGGCCGATCTCTGCCTGCCTCCTGCCTTTCTCCCCTCCTCACGCCATTCCGAGTTGCCACTTCCACCCAAGAAGACATCAGACTTGTGGCGGAAGCGTCCCTGAGGGCCGTTGCCAGCTGTGTCTTTATGGCCACACTTATAATGACCACGTGCTCCGCTGAGCCCTTTTAAGGCCTACAAGACCTTTTGCGGCCCTGAATGCTGAAAAGCAATCCAAAACCCCGATGATCACCACCCTCATTTGTAATGCAAAATAAAAATAACGCTAGACCTTAGAATAAGTGGCAGGAAGCCCAACAAAGTTCTGAATTTTGCCATGATGGCTCTTCAGTGTAGTTTCCTTTGAAATATCAGACATCAAATTTTTGCATGCTTTTTTTTTCCCTTTTCTTTTTTGGCCTTTTTTTTTTTTTTTTTTTTTGAGGGTCCCTAAGCACTTGCATCCTTGCCTCTTGGGCTGTCCAGCTTGGAGTCCTTTCTTGACGTTATGTTGTCTAATCCTGACAACACTCACGGGGGAAGGATGACCATCCTCATTTTATAGGTGAGGAAATGGTCTCCGAGAGCAAAGCGACTTGCTAAGACGACCCATCATCTAGAAAGTGGTGGAGCTAGGAACCCAGCCTGAGTCTGGTGACCTGCTCTGGGGTCACTGTTTTTCATCAGTGTTGCCTCACCAGCTCCTCCCCACAAACAAACAAACAAGCAGGAAAAGAGGAGGATTCTGGGAGGTGTTTTGGTGCAATCTCAAATCTTTTAAGAAACCCCAGAACGGTCACTCCGGCATCGCCCCGAGCCCAGGGTGTAGGTGGCAACTCTCCCTGCTCTTCTTCTCCCTGTCTCTCCTCTGCCTGTGTCTTCTCCACCTTTGCCTGCTGGGCACCGTGCTCTCCCCATCCCAGCTCTTGGGTCCTGTGCATGGCCTGTGCCCCTACCCAGCGTCCCTGTGGGTGCATCTGTCCTCCCTGGGCCGTGCCCCAGGGACCTCCCCTGTACCTTCCTAAGCTGTTTTACGTTTCATTTTAGAATTCCGTGTAGAGCGGACCCCTCTCCCGAGCGCCCCAGTCCTCCCCGAGCTTACAGGTCAGTCGCTCGGATTTCCTACACCTCACAGGCCGCACGGGGAGAAAGAGAAGAACCCAGGGGTCTTCTCCGGGGAAAGCTAGTGGGACCCTTTTCTCCTGTCCAACAGCCCTCTGGCTGTGGGGACACAACAGACTCTGCCCAGGCCCTGGCCAGTCTGTGTAGCTACATGGCCCTGAAGGGTGGGGCATGGGGCCAAGCCCAGCAGATGGAGGAGAAATCACTCATTCATCTAGTTGGCAAATATTTATTTAGCGCCTCCCATGTGCCAGGCACCGAGTAGACTCTGGGATCCAGCAGTCAAGACGCCAGGGTCTCAAGCTCAGTAGAGTGGGCCGGGCGGGGTCTTCGACAGACTGGAGTGCGCACGCGTCCACTCTGTGCCAGCCCACCCTGGCCGGGAGGGGATGCACACCTAGTACTTTGAGATGTCTCTTTCCGAGAGAAGCCAGAAACCCGGCTTTTGCTTCTGAATGGATTTTTCAATCGTTCTCAAATGTTGGCAACAAATTCCAAATTGTTAAACCACTGCAGGCCAAATGAAACCTATTTGAGGGCCAAATCCAGCCCTCAGGCTGCCCACTTGCAGCTTCCGAGCAAGCCGAGCAAGCCGGATGAAGTCGCTTGGCCCTGTCGGGAGCCATCTCTCTAGCTGCAGCCCTTGCTTGGGCCTGTCAGCTCTGCTCCGGACCTGGGGCCCCGCCAAGTCCGAGGGGAGGGGAGGGGCATGTGCAGATGAGATGGGCTGCAAGGGGTTTCTCTGTTCAACCTGCTTCTCCCCCCACCCCACCCCAGACTCTCCCCCCCAACCTGGCCGTGTGTGGAGGACGTGAGCATGGTTGCTGCTTTCGATGAGACCTTCCTTCCAAGGGGTGCTCAGGGGTCCCCCAAAATGGGGAGAGGGGAAGAAAACCAGGGGGTGAGGAAAGGGGAGGGAGTAAAGAGTCCTGTAGGTGGGGGGTGGTAGAGGCCCCTCCCTGAGCAGAGTTGGGTTTGACCCGCCATGGGGGTATTGGAAGGGGGGTTCTTTTCTCCTCATTTAAGAACTTTGTGTTGAGGACCTACTATGTGGGGCACTCTGCCAGGCCCCTGGGGGCAGCGCAGGGACAAGACAGGGCCAGGCCCTGCTCTCACAGGACCTGCAGTCTAGAGAGGAAAACAAATACTTATTATATAAATGAGTAATCCTTTGCAGTTGTGATAAGCACTTACTCAGGTTGGCTTAGCTGGCTCTGCTTTGTGGAAAGGCCGAACCAGACCAAGAACCAGACCTCAGAGCCCACCCCCTGCCCTCAAAAGAACTGAGAGAAGACATGTCCCCTCAGCAGCTAGCTTGGTACAGGGGAGGAGATTTTCCCTGGAGGTCTGGGGTCTGAACTTTTCTCTTGCCTTCAGGAGATGTGGGTGTTTCCTTCAGGCATTCAGTAGACATTTACCATGCCAGATGTTGGTCCAGGTGGGGATACAGCAGTGAATGAGATGGACAATGTCCCTGTCTCCTGGAGCTGATATTTCAGTGGAGAGAGACAGCAGTAAATAAGTAGACACGCAAATGAATAATTGCAGGGGGTGAGAAGTTCCACAAGGAAAATAAAACAGGGAGATGTTCTAAGGCCTTAGGGCCAGGGGCAGGGGGCCGCCTTAGCAGGGGTGGCCAAGGGAGGGGACGTCGGGGTGAGGAGTCAACTATATGGCTCTTAGGCAAGGCTCCTTCATAGTGTGGGAATCATGCTGTCTCCAGACTTTAATCCCCCAGACCAAAGGCCTTGCCAAGAATTTTCTGGGGCCATTTACGGAGTCCCTAGCCCCAAGTCCAGTACCAGTTCAGGGTCAAGGTCACCAAAACAGCCCCCAGAGAGTGCATCTCCTGATGGGAGACTGTATCCCTGAGGGCAAATGCCAACTCGGTTGACCCTGGCTCTGCAGTGGCAGAGCCGAGCAGTAGGGGGCGCTCACCCCACTACACCAGCCCAAGGGAGCTCCAGGTTCAAGCCAACCACTTACTTAAGAAGCGGTTCCTTTTAGGGGCACCTGGCTGGCTCAGTCTGTAAAGCATGCAACTCTTGACCTCAGGGTTGTGAGTTCAAGCCCCCCATTGGTTGTAGAGATATCTTTGGGGGGGAAAAAAAAAAAGAAGAGGTTCCTTTTACTCCTTCAGCAGCCATTTATTAAACACCTACTGTGATTAAGGCAGGGTGCTGGGCACTGTGGAGGTAGACTGCAAACAAGGGAATACCAATATCTCTGTCTGAAGAGGGGACCAAAGAGAAGGGGCTAGGGGAGTTTGGGGAGAGAATGGTCATTTCCGGTTGGGTGGCAGTCAGGGGAACCCTGAGGCGGGGAATTGGGTGCACCCAATTTACTGAGGGTGTGGCCTCAGGAGAAGGACAGTGAGAGAAAACAGGACAGGCAGAAGGATTGAAGCTGGATTATGGCCTGGATTGGAGTCTGGCTTCCTCCTGATCCCACAGGGAGCTCTGGGACATGCCCTGGTACCTCAGGGTTGGTCCCACCTTGAGGCAACAGGCCCGGCTTCTTGTACCCCACGTCAGTCAGGCACTGGCTGCCGTCGCCTGGGGTTGGGATGTGGGCCATAACCTCCTGGGTTCCTCTGGGCTAGGTGGTCCCATCCAGCCAAGGGCACTCTCTGAAGTAGGGAGCATCGCTCAGAGCAGCTCAGGGTGGGGTGCCCCGCTGTACCCTGGGTCAGGGTACAGCTGGTGGCCCAAGGGAGTGCTTTCTGCCTCCATGCTGGCGCTGCCCCGACCCTCTGGGGGGGGGGGGGGTAAGGCTGGAGAGACTCTGCCCAGAGGGGGCCGCTGTTGTCCACCTCCATCCCCTCGGCCACCACACTGAAAGGCCCATACCTTTCCTTCCAGCCATTCCCCTCACTGCCTACGGACCAATGGCGGCGGCGGCTGCGGCGGCGGCTGTGGTTCGAGGGACAGGTGAGGCCTTCCGGGGTGCAGGAAGCAGAGAAGGGGTGTTAGGGGGCAGGGAAGTCTAGAGGGGAGAGTAGGTAGCCACTGCCACCCTTTCCCAGAGGGACTTACTTGTTCATCTGCTCCACAGGTATTAACAGAGCACCTGGGAGGCCAGCCAGGGAGGAGACCCCGTGTCCTCCTGGGCTTGCAGGCTGGGGGGGCGTCGGGTGTGACAAAGGACGGACCTGCTCTGCTGGGGGCCGGGGGGGAGTCAGGTACCAGAGGCGCTCACAGATGGAGCCTCTCAGGAAGGCTTCCCAGAGGCCCCGCTCTTTAACTTCCAATTTGAAGGCAAAAAAGAAAAGTGTCCCCAGCAGAGACCAGTTAGTATGGGGGGTGGGGGGGAGTACAGGATTGGGGGGTGGGGAGGACGAGGCAGGAGGAACCAGGTCCTGGGGAGACACGGAACATTGAAGCAGTGGAGCGATGTCGATTTTGGAACATGCACTCGGCTGCCGGATGGGGAGAGAATTTGCAGGGGCTCAGGAGGGGAGGCCTGGAGGTCAGTGAGGAGGCGGCAAAGTGGACAGATGAGCTGGTGGTGGTGAATGGACTTGGGGAGACCTCCAGCCGGTGGACCCACAGGCCCCGCTGGGATGTAGGGGTGAGGGAAAGGGAAGGCTCAAGGTCACGGTGGGTGGAACAGGTTTAAGGGGGGTGTCGTGGGGCAGCAGTGGGCGCCGGGGCTATCACCGTCTTCTTTCTGGGTTGCCAGGCTCTCACCCCTGGACGATGGCTCCCCCTCCAGGTTCAACTCCCAGCCGCACAGGGGGCTTCCTGGGGACCACAAGCCCCGGCCCCATGGCCGAGCTCTATGGGGCAGCCAACCAGGACTCGGGGGTCAGCAGTTACATCAGCGCTGCCAGCCCCGCCCCCAGCACCGGCTTCGGCCACAGTCTTGGGGTGAGTGGCCAGTCCTGGAAGACTCAGAAGTTGGAGGAGGGAGAGGTTTTGTCTGTTAGCAGGGGCAGAAGGGGGCCGAGGGAGGGTGGATGGAAAAAGATGGTCACCAAGGGGGAACAGTGGGGCTCATCATTCATTCCGTGTGCCAGGCATTAGGTGGGCTCTGGGGATACCACGCAGACTCACCGTCTCTGGCCACATGGAGGCTAGATTCTAGCTCAGGAGTGTCCTCATTTTAACCAGGGTACTGGCAATATGCAGATTTCAAGCCCTACCCCAGAGAATCTTCTAGCGCATCTGCAGTGGGGGCGACATGGGCAAGGCTAGAGAAGGGTCTGTGCCTCACCTCGGTGTTCCTCCGAAGAAAGGAGCCCCTGGGCGTTTTCTGCGTCCCTAGGAATCTAGGAGTCAAATTCTTTTCTCCCCAGGGCCCTTTGATTGCCACAGCTTTCACCAATGGGTACCACTGAAGCAGGAATCAGGTGGCAGGAGGTGAGGAGGTGGGCCGGGGCCTTGGGGGTGGGGGTGGCTCTGGGAGGGCTGGCACCGGGAAGCCCCGTCTGGGCCACAGACCTTGTCCCTGCCTTCATGGAGCCCACAGTCCAGGGGGGAGACAGAACTTTCATAACCGCAGTGGTCAGTGAACCTGAAACCTGCTCAGCCTGCTACATCAAAACTAAATGGAAAGCACAACAAGGGGGCGCCTGGGTGGCTCAGTCGTTAAGCGTCTGCCTTCGGCTCAGGTCATGATCCTGGGGTCCTGGGATCGAGCCCCGCATCCGGCTCCCTGCTCTGCGGGAAGCCTGCTTCTCCCTCTCCCACTCCCCCTGCTTGTGTTCCCTCTCTCACTGTGTCTCTCTCTGTCAAATGGGTAAAATCTTTAAAAAAAAGAAAAGCACAACAAGGCAGTCCACGCGACCTGTCAGACAAAGATTTTTTTTTTTTTTTAAGATTGCTAATGCCCCACATTGATGAAGGTGTAGGGGAAGCAACATGTAAATTGTCTTTGTCTTGGGGTTTCCAAAGGGCAGACTGGCACTGTGTGCCCAGGTTTTAAACAGTCATGCCCTTGACCCAACGAGGCCACTTCTAGGCATTTATTTAAAAAACTGCCAAAAACCAGGGCGCCCAGCTGGCTCAGTCGGAAGAGGGTGTGACTCTTGATCTCAGGGTCTTGAGTTTGAGCCCCATGTTGGGTGTGGAGATTACTTAAATAAAATTTTTTTAAAAAATTAAAAACTGCGAAACACTGAAATGCCCATCAAAAGGAAAGTGGTTAAGTAAATCAGAGCGTATGCATACAGCGGCATGTTACACAGCCATTAAACGGGATACTCATGTCCGGAGAGTGAGAGAGAGAGGGAACTCTGTACACATGGTCACGCGGGGTACTGTGTGAACCCGGGACATTTCGTTTGTTCCTTCCTTCCTTCCTTCCTGCATTTATTCCAACGACTATTAGTCAGTTGAGCACCGTTTCAGGAAGGAGGGATGTAGGAGACAGACAAGGTCCCTCTCTCATTCTACAGACAAAAGTCAAGTGGACAAATGAGGAACTTCCAAATTATGTGTGAAGGGGCTACTTCAGATTAGAGGTTCAGAGAAGGTGCCTCTGAGAAGTGCCACATTTTAAATAAATCCAGCCATGCAAAAATCTAGGGAAAGAGGGCACCTGGGTGGCTCAGTTGGTTAAGCGACTGCCTTCGGCTCAGGTCATGATCCTGGAGTCCCGGGATCAAGTCCCACATCGGGCTCCCTGCTGGCAGGGAGTCTGCTTCTCCCTCTGACCCTCCCCCCTCTCATGCTCTCTCTATGTCATTGTCTCTCTCAAATAAATAAATAAAATCTTTAAAAAAAAAAAAATCTAGGGAAAGAGCATTCCAAACAGGGAACAGAGCCTGCGAAGTGTGTGAACAGAGCTCTGCTAGGAGAGGCTACCTGGGTTCCGGGAGCCTCTGGGAGCCCCAAAGAGAGGCGGGGGCGGCGGCAGGTGGCCGCAGGGCCTCCCTGTAACCTCCTGCTGTGTTCCAGCGCCCCAGCCTGCAGCTGACTGAGGACCACAGTGAGCCAGCGAGGGGGCGGGGACACCTCAGCCGCAGCCGCCGCCCCTTCCCCCGCAGCGACTCGGACCGCTACTGCCTGCCCCCAACTCCCCGGGCCCGGCCCCTGCCCTGCTGCCCCCGGACAGCGTCTGGCTCCCCTACTAACCTCCCTCTCTTCCGCCCTTGGCTCCCCTCCCCCACCTGCCCCTCCCCTCCCGCTTTTATTTATTTTGGATTAGCCGGTTGGCCCCCACCCCCCTGGTTCTCCCCTCTCAGGTCTGCACCCCTCCCTCCCTGCCGCACCCCCATAGGACCCTCCCCCCCCCAGAAGGCTTTTGTATTTGTGCATAGCTAGAGTGAGGGCGGAGGGGGTCTGCTACAGGCCGCAAGCCCTATGCTTGTTTTTTATTCTGATTTCCCCTCCTTTTCTCTTTCTTTTTTTCTTTTTTTTTTTTTTTTAAGAAACCGTTTTTTAAACTATTTCTAGGTTTGTGAATGTGAAGCCCCAGGCCGCAGGGGGCAAGGGGCCAGGTGCCCCCCCACCAGCTGAGAACAAAATGTCTATGTGGGTGTGGGCCCCTGGCCACCTCCCTCCAGCCCTGGAAAGGACAGGGTTGCAGCCAGGCCAAGCCCCTGGAACCATCCCGTCCTGTATCATATGTAAATACTGTGAGGTGAAGCCCCTACCCCTCTGTAAGACCCCTTAGGGGTGAGGGCATCGCCTCACCCCACCTGGCAAAGGTGTCCCCCTGTGTTTCTGTCTCCTCCTCAGACACCGTTACTGTAAGCTTGCAGGCCTCAACTGTGGCCAAGGCAAGCCCGCTCGCTCAGGCCCTAGGGGTCAAGGCCTTGGGCCTGCTCACCCCAAAAACCCAGCATGGGGCCAAAGGGTGAGGAAAGAGAAGGGCTCGCCCGGAGCCACTGCTGGAAAGGAATTAACTCTCCAAAGGTCTCCCCCTGCCCCCTACCTAGGTCAGGCCTTCATGGTTTCTGCTCTGAGCCCCCCATGAGCGGGCATCAAGGGGGTACTTTGGGAAGGGGTGGACCCCAGGGGAAAGCAAAGGGCTTCTCAGGGAACCCCCACATTCTCTCACTGAAGTTTCCCACCAGGATGGTCCCATGGCAGAGCCCCTTGGCAGCCCCGAGCCCCCAAGCCCCCTTCAAAGGAAAAAGAGGCTCAGGGTCTGACTCTTCATGAACAGTGAGTGACCTGGCTGGCATGGCAGGGCTGAGGCCCACCCACCTGCTGTTGTCCCCCTCTCTGTGTCCCTCTCCCCCAGGTCTGAGGCTGGGGACCTAAGCTCTCTCCCCCATCATAGTTCCCATCCCTGAAAACCCCCTTTGGAGAGTTAATTGTCTGTGTGAGGTGCTTAACCTATTAGCCCTGAGAACACAAAGCAATAATCTTTGTTACTGAGATGCGCGGCTGTTCGTGGTTTTGTTTTGTTTTCTTGTTTTTTTTTTTTTTTAATGTTTCCTAATAAAAGAGAAGCTGCATTTTATTGGTTTTTATTTTTAATTTTCTACACGTTTGAGCTGAGTCATGAGAGACTCAGCTTCCTTCTCCTCCCCTTCTCGTGACCCCCGTCCCACCCCCACTGGGCCCACCCATGGGCTCAGGGCCCTGGAATTCCGTTTTCTGATTTGTTTGGGGAATTTTTTAAAAAGATGTTACACGGTGTTTTGAAGCCAGCAAGTTACCACCCTCCGGTGTCTCTTCTCTCCACATCTGTAACTTCTTTTTCCAGGTTTTATTTTCAGTTTTAAATTCCTAATAAATTATTTGAAAACGGTGCTGGCTTTGTGAGTTTTTTCCATCTCTGTGTACATTCAGGTCTAGGTACCCCAATGACACCCTGTTTTCTCCTACCTTCTGTTCGTCTCCTGAAAGTCTGCACTTTCCATTTGACCAAGTTTCATTTACAACCTCTTGACCAGCCTCAAAGCTTAGCGTTGATGATGAGATACCACTTCACACCCATGAGGATGGCCAATATTTTTAAAAAGGGGGCGGGGGGGCAGGGGCGCCTGGGTGGCTCAGTCGGTTAAGCGACTGCCTTCGGCTCAGGTCATGATCCTGGAGTCCCTGGATCGAGTCCCACATCGGGCTCCCTGCTCGGCAGGGAGTCTGCTTTGCCCTCTGACCCTATCCCCTCTCATGTGTTCTCTCTCATTCTCTCTCTCTCAAATAAGTAAATAAAATCTTTAAAAAAAAAAAGAAAAGAAAAAAAGGGGGGCAGGGAGATAACAAGTGTTGGTGAGGATGTGGAGATATTGGAAACCCCATGCATTGCTGGTGGGAAGGTAAAATGGTGCATCTACAATGAGAAACAGTCCGGTGGTTCCTCAAAAAGCTCAACATTGAATTACCATATGATCCAACAATTCCACTTTTAGGTATATACTCCAAGGAATCGAAAACAGGGACTCAGACACTTACACACCAATGTTCATAACAGCATTACCCATCATAGCCAAAAGGTGGACAAAATCCAAGTATCCATCAACAGTTGAATGGATAAACAAAAATGTGCTTTAGCCATACAGCGGAATATTATTCAGTCATAAAAAGGAGTGAAGTGCTCATACGTGCTGCAACATGGATGAGCCTTAAAGACATTATACTAAATGAGGGGCACCTGGCTGGCTAAGTAGGAGGAGCATGGGACTCTTAATCTCAGGGTCGTAGGTTCGAGCCCCACATTGGGTGTACAGGTTACTTAAAAATAAAATATACTTTAAAAAAGACATTATATTAAATGAAAGAAGCCAGACACAAAAGGACAAATACTGTGTGATTCCACTTACATGAGGTACCTAGAATGGGCAATTCACTGGGACAGAATGTAGAACAGAGGGTACCAGGAGTTGGGGAGGATGGAATCGGTAATTATTTCTGAGCAGTGACAGAGTTTTTCTTTGGAGTAATAAGAAAAATTTGGAAATAAATAGGGTAATGGTTGCACAACATTGTGAATATAATTAACGCCACTGAACTGTACACTCAAAATGGTAAAAATAGTAAATTTCGTTATGTATATTCTACCACAATTAAAAAAAAAACTGGGGTGCCTGGCTGGCTCAATCGGAAGAGCCTGTGACTCTTGATCTCAGGGTTGTGGGTTCGAGCCCCACGTTGGGTGTAAAGATTGTTTAAAAAAAACGGGCGCCTGGGTGGCTCAGTCAGTTAAGCGTACTCCTGATTTTGGCTCAGGTCATGATCTCAGGGTCATAAAATTGAGCTCTGCGACAGGCTCTGTGCTGAGCGTGGAGCCTGCTTAAGATTCTCTCTCTCCCAGGACACCTGTGTGGCTCAGTCCATTAAGTGTCTACCTTCGGCTCAGGTCGTGATCCCAGGGTCCTGGGATCGAGTCCACATCAGGCTCCTTGCTCAGCGGGAAGCCTGTTTTTCCCTCTGCCTGCCGCTCCCCCTGCTTGCGCTTTCTCTCTCTCTCTCTCTGACAAATAAATAAAATCTTTAAAAATAATAAAAAATATAGGGGCGGCTGGGTGGCTCAGTCATTAGGCGTCTGCCTTCGGCTCAGGTCATGATCCCAGGGTCCTGGGATCGAGCCCTTCATCGGGCTCCCTGCTCAGCGGGAAGCCTGCTTCTCCCTCTCCCACTCCCCCTGCTTGTGTTCCCTCTCTTGCTGTCTTCTCTCTGTCAAATAAATAAAATCTTAAAAAATATATATATAATATAAATATAAATAAATATTAGTTATTATTGCTATGGTCCAAAATTTAAAACAAACAAACAAAAACCTAACATTGGACCCTTTGCTCCGGTTTGCCTTGAACTCAGAGAATCTTAACAGAGTAAGGTGGGGGAAACTGGCCAAAGTCGGGGTATGGGTGTAGCCAAATGGTCAGATGTGGGGGTTCCAACACCCAGCTCTTCCCCTTCCTAGCTGAAGGACATTGAACCAGCTCCCCAACCTCCCTGAGCCTCAATTTCCTCATGTGTCAAAGGAGAAGGATAAAGAAGCCAGACTTATGTAAAAGGCCACATATTGTAAGTTTCCATTTATGTGAAATATCCAGAAGAGGTGAATCTACAGAGACAGACAACGGATTGGGAGGGGCAGGAAGGGAGGGGGAGATGGGGAGTAACTGCTTAATGATTAAAGGCTGGCCTCTGAGGTCATAAATCTGTTTTGGAACCAGAGGCAATGGCGGCACGACACTGGGAACGTACTAAATGCCACTGAATGGTTCGCTTTAAAATGGTTAATTTTAGGGGCGCCTGGGTGGCTCAGTCATTAAGCGTCTGCCTTCGGCTCAGGTCATGATCCCGGGGTCCTGGGATCGAGCCCCACATCGGGCTCCCTGCTCCGCAGGGAGCCTGCTTCTCTCTCTCCCACTCCCCCTGCTTGTGTTCCCTCTCTCGCTGTGTCTCTCTCTGTCAAATAAATAAAATCTTTAAAAATAAATAAATAAATAAATAAAATGGTTAATTTTATGTTACGGGAATTTCACCTCAATAAAATGAGAGTGCTACCCATAACTTGGGTGATTGAGAATTAAATGTGAGGGCAAACAGAGAGGACTCAACACCAGGCAAGGCACAGAGTAAGTGCTTGGTGAATAGTAATTACTATTAATATCGGACTGCCCCAGATGCCTGGAAATGTGTGATCAGAGCTCAGCAGCGGCTGCCCCCTCCTGAGTGGGACCAACAGCTGCAGTTCATGCATTCACTCAACAAAGATTCCCTTAGCATCCACTGTGTGCAAGACCATGTGTTAGGCACTAATAGGGTGACCAACTCATCCTGCTTTGCAAACAGGAAGTTCCGAGTCCCAAGAACCCTTCATTCCCTGGAAAACCAGGACAACTGGTCACCTTAAAGCATTGATTTAGTATGGGTGTGTGTGGGGGGAGGGGGGTCAAGGTCAACTGGGATCCAAAAGAAGAGTAAGGGGCATCTGGATGGCTCATTTGGTAGAGCATACAACTCTTTATCTTGGACTCTTGATCTTCAGGTTGTGAGTTCAAGCCCCATGTTGGACATAGAGATTACTGAGAAGAAAAGGGAAGGGGGAAGGGAAAGGAAGGGGGAAGGGAAGGAAGAAGGAAGAGTAATTAGGAAGTGCAGTGGGAGGAGTATACCAGGAGGAGAGACCAGCAGGTGTAAAAGCTTGAAATGGGGAGAAACATGAAGCCTTTAATCACGAGCCCAAAGAAGGCCATTGGGGCTGGAGTAGAAGGTATCCCACCCCACTCCATACTGAGAGGTTAGTAGGGGCAGATGAGTCTCTAGGCTGGTTTTGGTTTTGTTTTAAGAATTTATTTATGTATTTGTGTGAGAGAGAGAGAGCAAGAGCAGAGGGAAGAGGCAGAGGGAGAAGCAGGCTCCCTGCTGAGGAGGGAGCCCAATGTGGGACTCGATCCTGGGGCCCTGGGATTATGACTTGAGCTGAAGGCAGATGCTTAACCATCTGAGCCACCTAGGCATCCCTGGTTTTGTTTCTTATATAGAGCCACTGGGAAGGTATGAAGGGTGTTCGGCAATGGGGTGGAAGAGTGATGAATGAGGTTTGCTTTGGAAATACAATGGGGAACAGATCTGAGAGAGGACCTTGTGGAGGGGAGCAGGGAGATATTGAGGAGGCTGCTGTGAGCATGGAGGCAAGAGATGCTGGATGAGGACCAGGATGTTTTAGGTTGAAAGAAGGGTATGGCTCGTGATGGGGCTGGATGGAGAAAGGGGTGAGGGGAGGGGGTATTTGGAGGAGCTCCTGGATTCCTGAAGATGTGGGCTTTGAGGAAGACCAGCTTCCTTGGTGGTTGTGCTCAGTTTGAGAAATACTCTCAGCTGAGCTCAGATGCAACTGGAGACACAGTTTGGTAAGAGGAGGGATGGGAATCAGCACCTTAGGGAGACCTCTGCTAAGTTAAACCCAGCCCAGTGTTACCTAAGGCCTTCTGGAAACCTCCCAACAGGCCACACAAGGGGCTCAGTGCTCTCTGTGCTGATCACACTAATCCCCCTCTTACATCTGACACAGGGGGAAACAGTAGCTCAGAGATGTGAAGTATCTTACCTAGTCACATAGCTGCTGAGTGGCAAGGTGGGCCTTCCAAACTGGGTGCTTCTGATCTCATAGTTGTTTTGTTTTTCTTTTTCTTTTTTTTTCTTTTAAAGATTTTATTTATTTATTTGAGAGAGAGAATGAGAGACAGAGAGCATGAGAGGGGGAGGATCAGAGGGAGAAGCAGACTCCCCGCCGAGCAGGGAGCCCGATGCGGGACTCGATCCCGGGACTCCAGGATCATGACCTGAGCTGAAGGCAGTCGCTTAACCAACTGAGCCACCCAGGCGCCCCTGTTTTGTTTTTCTTTATTTTTCTTCTTTCATACAATATTTGATTCATGTATTAAAATAGGTGTAACTTATTTGGATATAATTTGGAAAAACTAAGTGCAAAAAAAAAACCATTTTGAGACACTCAAAGGTCTCCAAAAATGGTCTGAGTATTAGATAACACTAAAAAATTGTTATTTTTATTAAGTATGATCATGGCATTATAGTTATGTTTTAAAAAATTTATACTGAGGGATGCCTGGCTGGCTCAGTGTATGGAGCAGGCGACTCTTGATCTCAGAGTTGTGAGTTCAAGTCCCATACTGGATGTAGAGAGTGCTTAAAAATAAAATCTTAAGGGGCGCCTGGGTGACTCAGTTGTTGGGTGTCTGCCTTTGGCTTGGGTCGTGATCCCAGAGTCCTGGGATCGAGCCATGCATCAGGCTCCCTGATTGGCTGGGGGCCTGCTTCTCCCTCTCCCACTCCCCCTGTTTGTGTTCCCTCTCTCACTGTGTCTCTCTCTGTCAAATAAATAAATAAAATCTTAAAGGTAAAATAAAATAAAATCTTAAGGGGCGCCTGGGTGGCTCAGTCGGTTAGGCATCTGACTCTTGATCTCCGCTTGGGTCTTGATCTGGGGGTCGTGAGTTCAAGCCCAGCATGGAGCCCACTTCAGAAAAAATAATAAAATCTCAAAAAGAATTCATACTCAAAGCTTTTCCTCTTAAATTAGGAGCAAGGCAAGGATGTCCACTCTGGCTGCTTCTATTCAACATAGTATTGGAAGTCCTAGCCAGAATAATGAAGCAAGAAAAAGAAATAAAAGCCATCCAAATTGGAAAGGAAGAAGCAAACTTATCTCTGTTCACAGACGACATGATCGTATATGTAGAAAACCCTAAAGAGGGGTGCCTGGGTGGTTCAGTCGGTTAAGCATCTGACTCTTGATTTCGGGTCAGGTTGTGGGACTGAGCCCCATGTCAGGCACGGCCCTCAGCAGGGAGTCTGCTTGGGATTCTCTCCTTCTCCCTCTGTCCCTCTGCCTGCTTTCTCTCTCTGTCTCTAAAATAAAATAGGGGCGTCTGGGTGGCTCAGTCGGTTAAGCGTCTGCCTTTGGCTCAGTTCATGATCCCAGGGTCCTGGGATGGAGTCCCTTATCGGGCTCCCAGCTCAGTGGGGAGTCTCTGCCTCTGCCCCTCCCCCTGCTTGTACACTCTCCTCTCTCGCGCGCGCGCGCAAAAACAAATAAATAAAATCTAAAAATAAATAAATAAATAAATAAATCTTTTAAAAAAGGAAAGAGTCCACAAAAAAACTGATAGAATTAATAAACGAATTTAGTAAAGTTGCAATCTATAAAATCAACACTCAAAAATCAAGTATGTTTCTACACACTAACAATGAATAATTGGAAAAGGAAATTAAGAAAACATTTCCAATTACAGTAGCATCAAAAATAATAAAACACTGGGGCGCCTGGGTGGGTCAATTGGTTAAGCGTCTGCCTTTGGCTCAGGTCATGATCCGGGGGTCCTGGGATCGAGCCCTTGCATTGAGCTCCCTGCTCAGCGGGGAGCCTGCTTCTCCCTCTCCCTCTGCCTCTCCCCCAGCTTGCCCTCCCTCTCTCAAATAAATAAATAAAATCTTTAAAAAAAAAAAAAAAGTAAAACACTGGGCCACCTGGCAGGCTTAGTAGGTGAAGCATGTGACTTGATCTCAGGGTTTTAAGTTCAAGCCCCACATTGTATGTAGAGATTACTTAAAAATAAAATCTTTACAGGGACAACTGGGTGGCTCAGTTGGTTAAGTGGCTGCCTTCGGCTCAGGTCATGATCCCGGGGTCCTGGGATCGAGCCCCGCATTGGGCTCCCTGCTCAGTGGGGAGCCTGCTTCTCCCTCTCCCACTCCCCCTGCTTGTGCTCTCTACCTGACAAATAAATAAATAAAATCTTCAAAAAAAAAAAAAAAGACAGAAAAAGTTGGAGGATTCATACTTCTTGATTTCAAAACATATTACAAAGTAAAACAAACAAAAACATACTACAAACTACAGTAATCAAAACAGGCATACAGACAGACACAGACCAGTGGAACAGAGTAGAGAGCCCAGAAATAAACCCTCACTTACATGGGCAAATGATCTCCGACAAGGGTGCCAAGGTCATTCAATGTGGAAAGGACAATGTCTTCAACAAATTGTGTTGGAAAAATTAGATATCCACATGCAGAAGAATGAAGTTGGACCCTTATCCTATGCCATCTACAAAAATGAGCTCAGGGGCACCTGACTGGCTCAGTTGGCAGAGCATGTGACTCTTTTTTTTTTAATTTAAGTAATCTCCCATAATCTCTACAGCCAGCATGTGGTCTGAACTCAGGACCTCCTCCCACCCCCCACCCCGCTGAGATCAAGAGTCGCGTGCTCTACTGAGTGAGCCAGGCACATGCCCCTAGAGCATGTGACTCTTGATCTTGAGGTCATGAGTTCAAGCCCCACATTGGGGTTAGAGTTTACTTAAAAAAAAAAAAAAGTTCAAAATGGATTAAAAACCTAAATGTGAGGGCGCCTGGGTGACTCAGTCGGTTGAGTGACTGCCTTCGGCTCAGGTCATGATCCCAGGGTTCTGGGATTGAGTCCCACATCGGGCTCCCTGCTCTGCGGGGAGCCTGCTTCTCCCTCTCCCACTCCCCCTGCTTGTGTTCCCTCTCTCGCTGTGTCTCTCTCTGTCAAATAAATAAATAAAATCTTTTAAAAAAAAAAAACAAACCTAAATGTGAGACCTAAAACTACAAAACTCCTAGAAGAAAGCATAGAGGAAAAGCTTCATGCTATTGGAGTTGGTAATGATTTCTTAGATATGACACCAAAAGCAAAAGGCAACAAAAGCAAATAGGACTACATCAAACTGAAAAATGTTCGTGCTTAAAAGGACACAACAGGGGCTCATTCGGTTAAAGCATCTGCCTCCAGCTCAGGTCATGATCCTGGGGTCCTGGGATCGAGCCCCACATTGGGCTCCCTGCTCTTTGGGGAGTCTGCTTCTCCCTCTGACTGTCCACCCCCGCCCCCAGCTTGTGCTCTCTCTCTCTCTCAAAGGAATAAATTAAAATTAGAAAAAAAAAGGGGGGGGACACAACAAAGTGAAAAGTGACCTACGAAATGGGAGAAGATATTTGCAAATGATCTATCTGATAAGAAGTTACTATCTGGACTACGTAAAGAACTCCTTCGCTGGATGGTTTGGCTATGGGAAAAAAGGTTTGGATACTTTGGGATACGGCCTCAATGTGCTCATCTGTAATAGTCCTTAATCATAGGGTCTCCTGCGTAAAGCTCTTAGGATCTTTCCCGGCCCAGCGCTCAAGGAGTGTTTGCTGTTGTTGCTGTTTTGTTGTTGTTGTTGTTGAAGAGGGCTCGGGACTACGAGGCAGGTGCACACAGGTTCCAATCCCAGCCCTACCACTTTCTAGCTGTGTGACTTTGGGCCTGTGACTTAAGCTCTCTGAACCTGTGTCACCATCTGTAAAAGAGGGGAAGATGGTGACAACAAGCATAACTATGTCAGAGGATTGTTGCTAGGCTGGAAAGCCACGCACGTGAAGCTCTCAACACAGTACCAAGCAAACAGAAGTGCTCAGCACGTGGTAGCCATTAACTGCTTTTAAGCATTTCCTGACAGCAAGAGCCTTGTCTTTCAGGGGTGGGGCAGGTGTGACCTTGCTGGAGTGTGGGTACGCCGTCACCTGAAGGAGCCAAGAAGCTGTTCTTAGCTGTTCTTTCCACTGGAGGGTGTGTTCTTCCCAGGCTGGGAGAAGCTGTGTGGTATACACCTGTGCATGATTCTGGGGGCAGCCTAAGGTCATGGTACAAAGAGTGTAGGGGCCTGGCGGGGTGCATTCCTCATTTCACACATCTCTGTCCAGGGGAAGAGGGGTCTGGTAGTAGCCTGACCCTCCCCAACCAGGGGCTTTGCCTAAGCCCCAGCACAAAATGCACATGGGAATGTGTTCAGCCTGCCTTTGTGGCAAGCCTCCAGCTGGTGGAGGGAGGAGGAGAAAAGGAGGGAAGTAGACAGGACTAACCCTCTTTCTGGCCTCAAGGGGCCTCAAGCACTCTCACCCAGCACTACAATTCCCTGTCATGAGGTGATACTGTGGTATCATAAGCACCAGATCCAACTCACATCTTGGTCCTGCTATGGGACACCGGGGCAGTCCCTTAACCTCTCTGATCGTCTTCTCTGCAAAATGGAGTTTTGTAACTGGACCCACCTCGGACGTTTATGCCAGGTTCTTAGCATGGGACCTGGAATAGAGTTAGTGCTCAGGAAATGGGACTTAATACTATTAGCCTTAGAGGATTTCGTAGCACCAGCTTCTCCTCTTTCCTCAGACCCAACAGGAGCAGTGCCTGTTCCTCTGTTTCATTCTGACCCCAGAGAACCCACACAAGAGGGATTTAGCATTTTGTTGGCCAAGTCTTCCCTTTCCTTGGGTAGCCGTCACCCATTGTGGAGGCTAAAGGGGAAGACCCTTTCATCAGGTTGATGTGGGGTCCTGAGCTAACCTTACTTTCTCTCCCAAGGCTCTCCCAGCCTCCACCCACCTCTCGGTGGGCACTGAGTCTCTGTCATCCCAAGCAGCACTGTCCAATAGAACCCTCTGGGACGATGGAAACGTTCTATTTCTGTGAGGCACAGTGGCCACCAGCCACATGTAGCTACTGAACACTTGAAAAGTGGCTAGTGGGGCTGAGAAACTAATTTTTAATATTATTTAATTGTGGGGCGCCTGGGTGGCTCAGTCGTTAAGTGTCTGCCTTCAGCTCAGGTAATGGTCCCAGGGTCCTGGGATCAAGCCCCGCGTCAGGCTCCCTGCTCTGTAGGAGGCCTGCTTCTCCCTCCCTTACCCTCCCCTGCTTGTGTTCCCTCTCTTTCTGTGTCTCTCTCTGTCAAATAAATAAATAAAATCTTTTAAAACTATATTATTTAATTGTAATGGATTTAGATAGCCACAGGGGGCTGATGGCTACCATATTGGACCAATGTAGAAACCTCAGACATATGAAGAGTCGGATGACTTGAAATGATCCCAGGCCAAATGCAGGCAGAATCAGGCCCAAGCAAATAAATCACTTGCTCTTTCTGGGCCTCAGTTTCCCCATCTGCTTACTAAATGCTGTTTCAGTGTTAACTCATTAGCTGAAGGAATTTTCCTGGGGCTCCTGGTTTGGGACAAAACATGGGAGCTCTTCCAGATGGATTTCTTCTTTTTTGGCCCTGGTGCACTCCCAAGGGAAAAGTAGAGAGAGCTGGAATCCTGGAATGCTTGAGCAGAAGCCACCGGGTTAGGATTAGGCCACTGGATTCTGTACTGACTCGGACATGGCATAATCATGCCAGGGTGGAGGGAAAGGGCTCAGTGGGAAGAGGCAGGTATGGGTTCACGTCAGGGTGTGGCCACTTTCAGCTTTTCCTCAGGCTGAGCCTGGGATCATGACCTGAGCGGAAGGCACACACTTAACGACTGAGCCACCCAAGCACCCCCTTATTTATTTATTTATTTATTTATTTATTTATTTATTTATTTATTTATTTATTTATTTATTTATTTTATTCTACAAGTCAGATCCAAGCCTTTGGAACTCCAAAGCCCCTTACAAACCCACACTGGGGAAAGGGGGAGGGGGCAGTATTAATGTGGTGGGGAAAAATAAAACATGTGCCTTAGAATTAGACATGCTTAATAAAAAAAAAATTAAAAAAAAAAAAAAAGAATTAGACATGCCTAAGTTTGGGCCCCTGCTCTGCCATTTGCTGGCTGCGTGACCTCAGGCAAGTCAACCTCACCTCTCTGAACCTGTTTACACATCTGCCAAATGATGATTGGTAGGGACTACTCACTGAGACCCACAGCTGAGACCCAGGCCCATGAGAAGGCGTGGAGGCAATGACAGAATTAGGCTGAGTGCAAAGAGGGTGGGGTGAGGGTCAAGGTTCCAAGCCATGCAACCTCCAGAAATAATCTCTTCCATTAAAAGGTGCTAATGAAAATACATACACCACTTCCAAGATCCCTTGCTCCCAGGGCTTGCTTGTTGGTAAGGGTTATTCTGGCCACATAGTCAAGGCCAACTCAGAGCAGGTTTGGAGCAAAGCAAATACTACAGCCTTATCTTGGGGACACAGTGTGGGTATAAAGCAGGAGGCCGTAAGTGACTTTAGTCCTTCCTCTTGCTCACCAACTTGACAACGAAATGAAATTCCTTATATTGGCTGCTCTACTCATAGGTAAGCAAGTCTCCCCGGTCCCGTCCCTTCGGTGCTAAGATCTCACTCCTCGGGATTGGGGGCTACAGCTAACAGGGCAGGCTGGACCTGGAGCTCTCTATCGGGCTTCACAGAACCCATGCTGGGGTTCCCTCAAGTCCCCCCCACAGCTGGCACCTTTTCAGCCTTAGGTCCGAACTCAGACAATCCCTCTCAGAAGGGCCTACCAGCCCACCTGAGCGAAGAGAGACCTTTCTCCTTTCTGTCCACCGCATGGCCTTGGTATGGGGTCTTCCCAGCACCTACCTTTGCCTGCAATTTGTATCTTGTTTCTTGTTGATTCAGTTCCTCTTTTTAAAGCTTTACTTAAATTAAACTAATTATTTATTTATTTTTAAGTAAACTCTACCCCAACCTGGGGCTTGAACTCAAGACCCTGAGATCAAGAACTTCATGCTCTACCAACTGAGCTAGCCAGGTGTCCCAATTTATTTCCTTTTTATTCTCCACCCCCACAGAAGCATGGGCTCCATGAGAGCAAGGATAGAGCTGTTGGTGCCATTTATTGAATGAATGAATGGAATCAGATACATTGGGATTCAGATCCCATCTCATTCATTCATCATTCTTTCATTCATTCCACATTGATGTATTAGAGGCTCCGATGTATCAGGCTCTGGGTTGAGACTAAGGACTCATAGATGAAAAAGCCATGCTCCTTGCCTAGGGAACAGACACGCACACACACACACACACACAAACACATACAAACACGCACACATACACAGGCACACACATGAGAAGAGCTGTGTGCAGGTCTGGCCTGTGCAAAGAGCAGAGCTGGCTGGATCAGAGACAGAGAAAACAGGGAGGCAGGAGGGAGGTCTGGAGATGGGCAAGGTGGCCAGGCCACTCCTGTCTGCTGCCAGTATGGAGGCTGCTCATAGGGGAGAGTGACCAGCCGCCACCCTTACTTTGCCCTGGGGTTTAATTGTTTTTTAAGATTTATTTATTTATTTGAGGAGGGAGGGGCAGAGGGAGAAAGAAACCTAAGCAGACTCCACCCTGAGCACGGGGCTCCATCTCACAACTCTGAGATCATGATGTGAGCCAAAACCAAGAGTCGGACGCTTAACCGGCTGAGCCACCCAGGTGCTCCTGCCCTGGGGTTTAAACATATGGAGCAGCTCCAGTGCGCACAACAGATCAGAGGAAGAAAGGGCAAGGTGTGGGGCAAAGAGATGATCCTGGCAGCCGATTGAAGGGGACCCCAAAATCATATAGTGCCCTCTTCTCTTTAGGGCACCAAATTTCACAGGCTATGGCTCTGAAAATGAGGTAAAGGGGTCCTGCTTCCTGAGTCTGCTGTGCCAAACCTTGTGCTACAAGCAAACTTCTTAAAAACATATTCATTAGATATTTATTGAGCACCTACTATGTGTCGGGTACTTTCCTTAATTGGTGTGTTGATTATTTCATTCATATAACTCATCATATACTTACAGAGCGCCTACTATGCATCAGGCTCTGGGGAATAAAAGCCCTGAGGCCTTGAGTTTATGGTCCAGCGAGCAGGAAGCATTAAATAAATAGATGGAGACAGACTGCTAGAGATACGAGGAAGCAAAGGACATAAAGAAAAGTGATAGCAGAAGAGCCACTTGGCTTGGGTGGTCAAGAAAGAGGAGGTGGCATTTTTTTTTTTTAAGATTTATTTATTTGAGAGAGAGAGTGAGAAAGCAGGGGGAGAGGCAGAGGGAGAGGGAGAGAAAATCCCAAACAGACTCCATACCGAGTGTGGAGCCCGATGCAGGGCTCAATCCCATGACCCTGGTGCCCTGAGGAGGTGGCATTTAAACCAAGATCCTCCAGCTTTTTGAAAAGTGAGATGACAAGCATGCTGGGTAGAGGAAACAACAGGTGCATGGGCCCTGAGGCAGAAAATAGCTTGTCCTGTTGAGGATGGTAGGCCACCCAGGTCTCCTGACTACTCCTTATACTCCTGCCCCATCTCAACCCCACCATTCCCCACCTAACCCATTTTATTTTATTTTAAGATTTTATTTATTTATTAGAGAGAGAGACAGTGAGAGAGGGAATACAAGCAGGGGCAGAGGGAGAGGGAGAAGCAGGCTCCCCACTGAGCAGGGAGACCAATGCGGGGCTCGATCCCGATCCCAGGACTCTGGGATCATGACCTGAGCCCAAGGCAGATGCTTAATGACTGAGCTACCCAGGCGCCCCTCACCTAACCCATTTTAGATCCCACTTACCATGTTCCAATTTTTCCACCCTCTAACACAATATCCAATTCCCTTATTTATTTCATTTATTGCTTATTTGTTTCTCCCCCAACTAGGACATAAGTTCAATGATGTTATAGATTTTCTATTTGCTCGCTGATGTATCTCCAGTTCCTAGGGCAGTGACTGGGCCATTGTAGGTGCTCAATAAATATTTGTTGGATAAATAATGGGGACCTCACTGAAAACATATGTTCACACAAAAACTAGGACGCAACTGTTAATAGCAGCACTATTCATAAGAGCCAAAAATTATAAACCCAGATGTCCATCATGTGATGAATGGATAAACAAAATGTGGGTCTGTCCATACAGTGGAATACTATTCAGTTATAAAAAGGAATGAAGTGGGACGCCTGGGTGGCTCAGTCGGTTAAGCGTCTGCCTTCGGCTCAGGTCATGATCCCAGGGTCCTGGGATCGAGTCCCGCATCGGGCTCCCTGCTCCCCGGGGAGCCTGCTTCTCCCTCTGCCTCTGTCTCTCTGTCTCTCATGAATAAATAAATAAAATCTTAAAAAAAAAATTAAAAAAAAAGGAATGAAGTACTGTTATATGGTACAATGTGGATGAACCTCAAAGACATTATGCTAAGTGAAAGAAGCCAATCACAAGAGCCCACATGTTGTATGATTCCATTTACATGAAGTGTTCAGAAGAGGCAAATCCATACAGACAGAAAGCATTTTGGTGATTGCCAGAGGGGCATGGGGAACAATCGCTAATGGGTACAGGGTATTCTTTTGGGGATGATGAAAATGTTCTGGAATGAGTGGTGATGGTTCCACAACTCTGTGAGTATACTAAAAACCACTGAAATGTACATTTTAAGTGGTTAAATGGTGAATTTTATGTTATGTGAACTTTATCTCAATAACAAATTATTTTTTAAAACGTTTTACAAAAAGAAAAAAATCCCTACTCACATTACCAGGTTCCTGCATCCAGCTCTCTTCCGAGGAGGCAGCTGGTGGGGTGCGGGGGGCAGCGTGGGGCCAGAGAGCAGGCAAGCAGTGAGCGGGGCTCCTGGGCGCTGGCGGAGCTGATAATCAGGACGTATTTAAACTCTGGCTGTGTCTTCTTGCAGTGGCCGCTGCCGATGAGGGCATCAGCCCGCGGGCAGTGTGGCAGTTCCGCAACATGATCAAGTGCACGATCCCCAGCAGTAACCCCTTGCAGGAGTACAACAACTACGGCTGCTACTGTGGCCTGGGTGGATCCGGCACCCCTGTGGATGAACTGGACAAGTGAGTGATCGATCGGCAGAGAGGGCGGAGTGACCGTGGAGTGGGGGGAGGGCACAATCCAAGGATCTCACGAGGAGGCACAGAAAGGGGATTTGCATATTTGCTAAAGATAACGTATTTTCACCTCTTGTCATAAACAAACATGCTCCAAGAGGACCCTGAATCCAATGCTCTATCAGGAGGAAAAAGCGAAAGGTTGGAGATTTAAGTAGTAGCGGGTGCTGCTGCCCCCTAGTGGCAGAACATCGCAACACAAGACACTGCAGAGAAGATTCAATTGTCCTCTTAACCCCCCAGCAGGGGTTAAGACTCCCACTGCATCTTCAGAATATATGATTGTACTATATGCCTGCGACCATTTTTAAATCGCCATAAATAAACATGAAGGACTAAAGTTTTTTTCAAGCCACAGGACCAATATCTTCCGGAGCATGTCAGCTAAATCATCCCTACCTGTTCCCGAGGCTGACCTGCTTCCCTGCCCCTCTCCAGGTGTTGCCAGACGCACGACCACTGCTACTCAGAAGCCAAGAAACTGGACAGCTGTAAATTCCTCCTGGACAACGCCTACACCAAAACCTACTCATACTCATGCTCTGGCTCTGAGATCACCTGCAGTGGTATGTTTAGTCTCTTGTTGGCTTGTCAGCCCTCAATAGACAGGGGAGGAAATAGTAATGATACCCACCATTTATCAATCAGTTCGTTGGCGCAAGGCTGTGTCTCCTTGAATCCTGGCAAAAACCCTAGGCGATCGGTATTATTATTATACCCATTTAACTGATGACAAAACGAAGGCTCAGAAGGCTGAGCCAATTGCCGTGGGGCACACAGCTCATACATGGTGGTGTTTGGTTTTGAACACAGGTCTATATGACTCCAAAGTCTCTGCTCTTAACTGCCATGCTATACAGCTTCGTTATTTCATAAAAAAGAGTTTAGAACTACCATTTATGAGTTTCTTATTACCTCCCAGGTACTAGGCTAAGGTTTTAATAACCCCATTTTCCAGGTGAGGAAGCTGAGACTCAAAATAGCTACTTGCCCCAAATGACACAGCTTCTAAGTGGAAGGGCCAGCATTTGAACTCAGTTGTTTCTGATATCAAAGGTTCTGGTCTTAACCACTAAGTTATGCAGAGCTCCTGGTGAAGTATGTCCGTCCAGGAAGGTAGTTCTGAAGAGCAGACGATTCAGAGAGGTGAAGGGTATTGTCATGCTAGGCCAGCATCTGGATTTGCACTACTCTCTACTACGCACCCACAGACGGGTCCCATTTTTCAAAACTGTACATACAATCTTGGAATAACCACAACTCAAATCCAGGAGGCCAAGAAAGAAAAATTTTTTTAAATAAAGATTTTATTTATTTGACAGAGAGAGACAGCAAGAGAGGGAACACAAGCAGGGGGAGTGGGAGAGGGAGAAGCAGGCTTCCCGTGGAGCAGGGAGCCCCATGCGGGGCTCGATCCCAGGACCCTGGGATCATGACCCGAGCCGAAGGCAGAGGCGAAACGACTGAGCCACCCAGGCGCCCCGGCCAAGAGAAAAATTACCAGGGGGCGCCTGGGTGGCTCAGTCGTTTCACGTCTGCCTTCAGCTAGGGTCATGATCCCGGGGTCCTGGGATCGAGCCCCACATCAGGCTCTTTGCTCAGCAGGGAGCCTGCTTCTCCCTCTCCCTCTGCCTGCTGCTCCCCCTGCTTGTGCTCTTTGACTCACTCCCTCTCTCTCTCTCAATCTGACAAATAAATAAAATCTTTTAATAAAATAAAAGATTACTGAATGTAAGTAGAGGTACGTAATTAAATTATGGGTAACAAAATTGAAACTCATTTTAAAAGTTATTGTTGTTGTTTCTTTTGGTTAAAAAGGCAAACAAGGCCAAAGTAATGTAATTTCAAACTCTTCAGAAGTGTATCATAGAAAGAAGATGCCTATAATCCTACCTCCCAAAATAACCAGTTGGATATATTGCCCTTCATTTTCCTTTAGTAAAATATCTTGGAAACATTTCCACATATGGGTATACTTAATTATTTTAAATATCTATATAATATTCTACTGTAAAAACATTTTGTAATTTTTTAAATATGTGCTATAAAGTAGAGAAATTGCCTTGCTAAACTTCACTAAGGTGAGATGTACAATATTTTGCTGCCTTGAGTATATGTTTTAGTGTTTTCCATATTGCCTTTTTTTTAAGATTTTTTAAATTTTTATTATTTTATTATTTTTAATTTTTTTAATTTTTTTTTTTTAGATTTTATTTATTTGAGAGAGACAGAGACAGTGAGATAGAGAGCACAAGGGGGAGGAGAGGGAGAAGCAGGCTCCCAAGGAGCAGGGAGCCCGATGCGAGACTCGATCCCAGGATCCCAGGATCATGACCTGAGCCGAAGGCAGACGCTTAACCGACTGAGCCACCCAGGCGCCCTTCCATATTGCTTTAAAGTTGCTTGCCTACGTTATCAGAGATCTATAGCTATATGAGTTTTAAGAGCTCTTTTTTTTAAAGATTTTATTTATTTGAAAGAGAGAGCACAAGCAGGGGGAGGGGCAGAGGGAGAAGCAAGCTCCCCGCTGAGCAGGGAGCCCGATGTGGGGCTCCATCCCAGGACCCTGGGATCACGACCTGAGTCAAAGGCAGATGCTTAATTGACTGAGTCACGCAGGTGCCCCAAAAGCTCATTTTAAGTCAAATAGGACTTCCCAAAAGGCACCCATCACGCGTAGGATTGCCAGATTATACACACGTTGCCCAATTAAATTTGACTTTCAGATAGACAATGAACATTTTTTTTTATTCTACATTCCAGACATTGCATTTATTGTTTATCTGATAGTCTGGTATTTTTATTTGTTAAATCTGTCAACCCTAAATTTGTATCAATAGAATGGCTACAAGATTATTCCAGCTAATTCTTCCTGCCCCCAGATTGGACAAAGCAGGATCTACCTTGGCTCAGTCCTCTCCTCTTGCTCTTTTACAGACAAAAACAAAGAGTGCCAGGCCTTCATCTGCAACTGCGACCGCAGTGCTGCCATCTGCTTTTCAAAGGCCCCATATAACAAAAAGCACAAGAACCTGGACACCAAGAAGTACTGTTAGTGATTGAGCATCCCCCCGGGAAAGCATCATCCCTATGTACCGCATAGCCTTCACCTTACCCTGTCTCCTCCAATAAAGCTCTTTGTTGAAAGGCCTCAGGTTTGGAGACTGTTTCATTCTCTGTGTCTCTAAGTCTCTTCTTAGTTCTTTGTGAGCATCATTCCTTCTAGCCTTGGAAGTTGAATTAGAGGGCTATTTCTAGGGAGTGAACACCATAAGACCTGAATGATTAACAACTGATTATTTACTCTGTGCCAGATTGAAATGCATAATATATCTTCTGAGGTAAAAACCTACCTCTTTTTCATTATCCCCAGGGCTGGGGGAGAGAGAAAACTAATCCCTTTAACAATTTTTTTTTTTTAAGATTTTATTTATTTATTTGACAGAGAGAGACACAGCGAGAGAGGGTATACAAGCAGGGGGAATGGGAGAGGGAGAAGCAGGCCTCCCGCGGAGCAGGGAGCCCAATGCGGGGCTCCATCCCAGGACCCTGGGATCATGACCTGAGCCGAAGGCAGACGCTTAACGACTGAGCCACCCAGGCGCCCCCTTTAACAATATTTTTTAAAAGATTTTATTCATTCAGGGGCGCTTAGGTGGTTCAGTGGGTTAAGCGCCTGCCTTCAGCTCAGGTCATGATCCGAGGATCCTGGGCGAGCCCCAGTCGGGCTCCCTGCTCTGAAGGAAGCCTGCTTCTCCCTCTCCCAGTCCCCCTGCTTGTGTTTTGACAGAGGGAGAGACAGCGAGAGAGGAAACACAAGTAGGGGGAGTGGGAGAGGGAGAAACAGGCTTCCCGCTGAGCATGGAGCCAGATGCAGGGCTTGATCCCAAAACCCTGGGATCATGACCTGAGCCCAAGGCAGCCGCTTAACTGACTGAGCCACCAGGCGCCCCCCAAATTAAAAAAAAATCTTTAAAAAAATATTTTATTCATTCATCCTACAGCAAGAGAAAGCACAAGCAGGGGGAGCAGCAGAGGGAGCGGGAGAAGCAGGCTCCCCACCAAGCAGGGAGTCCCAGTCCAGTCCAGGGGCTGGATCCCAGGACTCCGGGATCGTGACCCTAGCGGAAGGCAGACGCTTAACACACTGAGCCACCCAGGCGCCTCCCTTTAACAATCTTTCAATGAGCATCTGATGGGTGCTCATCAAAAGAAATGGAATATGGGAAACACCAGTACAGTGGCTGAGACTTAAATGAATAAATAAACTGAATTGTGAGTATTCTGAAGTAGCGATTACATCCCAGCAGCCACAGTATCTTCACAGTGCTTTGCACATCGCACACGCTCATTAAGTAATTGCTCAACGAAGGTACATCTTGGCGCCAAGGTTTGCTGCAGTTGAGGAAAAACCACGTGGCTATATTTACCTTTTCAGATCACGTGATCCTGAGCCCAACCCAGCCAGGGATTTCAGAGTAGGAAATGTGATTGGGTAACTTTTGGACACGTGCTCTCCGGGTCCTTTTTTTTTTTTTTTTTAAACTGTGGAAAAGCGGCCCAGCCCCCGGGCGACCTCGGCGCCTCCCGGGCTCTGGCCCCGCCCCCTCGCGCGTCGTTCCCAGCTGGCGCAGGCGCAGTGGTTGGTAACGGCTGCTCCAGCCGGCGTCAGGGTGAGGTGGCGGCGACGGGTCCGTGCGCGGCTTCCTGGGTCCTCGGTGCGCAGTTCTCCAGGGTCAGACTCTTGCGGGAAGGAAAGAGTGGGCGAGCCGAGTGTGAAAAAAGAGCGAGCTCACGTGGGTCTGACGTTGGGGCCCACCTTCCTGCGGTGCGCGTGCCCGTCTGGATGTCTCGGCCCCACACACGCCCCGCCGCCCCCAGCCCCCTGCCAGTTTCCGGTCGGTAGCTCCTCCGGGGCTCCCATCCCGGAAAGGGACGAGGGGGCCGGGAAGCTGGGGTGCCAAACTGGCGCGCGAGGAGAGAGGCGAGTGGATGTGGGGCGAGCCAAGGGCTTCTGCGCCCCAAGTCCCCACTGTCAAAGAGGGGAAACAAAAGGTGGAGGGCTTTGCAGCTCTGACCTCCGGTTGGAATGCTCTCCCTTTCCCCGCCTGGTGCTTGCCTGTTCATCCCTCAGGACTTAGTTGGGGTCACCTCAGGAAGTTTCTTGAGTCTTGCCATTCTTCCCTCCCAAAGTGCAATTTTGCGCAGTTACCCCACCGGGCTTCTATAGATACTAAAGAAAGGGAGTTCAGAACTGGATGGACTGGCTTTGATTACTGGCCTGGTCACCCCAGGTGACCTTAGGCTAGTTACATAAAATCTCCAAGCTTCAGGATCCTCATCTTTCAAAAGAAATAATATAGTATGCAGATCATAGGGTTGTGGGAATTAGGTGAGCCAGCGCCTTGTAAAATGCTTCCTACAGTGCTTGTTGTATAGTAAATGCTCCATAAATACTGTTTTCCCAAGGGGAAGGAGAGGGAAGGATACTCTGTTTTCTTTAGAAAGGCTTTATTATATCAAGCAAGATTTGGCTTTTGTAATCTTTTTTTAAAAAGGTACGCAAAAAGGAAATGTAGCTCTGGAGAAGATACATGCGAGTCTAGTTAAAGGAGTACTCAGTAGAGGACAAAGGTTTAGGCTAGTGATAATGGCTGACATTTGCTTACTATGTGCCAGGCACTGTGCTAGGAGCTTGGGATGCATCACTACCTTTTTTTTTTGAAGATTTTATTTATTTGACAGAGAGAGAACACAAGTAGGCAGAGAGGCAGGCAGAGGGAGAGGGAGAAGCAGACTCTCCACTGAGCAGGGAGCCCGACGTGGGGATCTATCCCAGGACCGTGGGATCATGACCCAAGTCGAAGGCAGCCGCTTAACCGACTGAGCCACCCAGGCGCCCTGAATCACTACCTTTCTTAATCTTCCCTAACAACCCAATGAGGTAGCTACTAGCATCCTCATCTATAAAGAGATTGAAGATTAACCACTTGTCCAAATTCACATAACTAGTAACTAGCAAGACAGGATGGAGGGGCGCCTGGATGGCACAGTCGTTAAGCGTCTGCCTTCTGCCTTCGGCTCAGGTCATGACCCCAGGGTCCTGGGATCGAGCCCCGCATCGGGCTCCCTGCTCATCGGGAAGCCTGCTTCTCCCTCTCCCTCTCGCACTCCCCCTGCTTGTGTTCCTGCTCTCGCTGTCAAATAAATATATAAAATCTTAAAAAAAAAAAAAAAAGACAGAGATGGAAATCCAGGTCTGTCTATATCCTAAGAGTTTCGATTCCATGCTATAGTCCTTTCTAATAAATTGAGGGAAAAAAAAACACTCTCCTTTCTTGGATGAGATTAACTTTTTTTTTTCCCTTCACAAAGTGGAATTTATCTGTTTTGTGACCTAAAGATTAAATAAAAAATCTGGATCTGAGCACCATCTTGAATCTCAAGAAGGACAATGTATCTGGAATTAACTAATTCAGATTAACTATTCCAATTAACTATTATACCCCATTCCTAGGAGCAGGGTAACCAATTCTTCCTGGTTTTAGCACTGAAAGTCCTGCAATCCAGGAAACTCCCTCAGTACTGGGCAATGTGGGACAGTTGGTCACCCCACCTAGGAGTGTTGGATTTCCTATTGGTCCTTAAATGCATCCTCTCAGGAAAAGTTTGGCATTCACTGAAGACTGACCCTTATGCGTGGCCAAGCATTTCTTTTTTTGTTGTTGTTAAAGATTTTATTTATTTATTTGAGAGAGAGAATGAGAGAGAGAGAGCACATGAGAGGGGGGAGGGTCAGAGGGAGAAGCAGACCCCCCGCTGAGCAGGGAGCCCAATGCGGGACTCGATCCTGGGACTCCAGGATCATGACCTGAGCCGAAGGCAGTCGCTTAACCAACTGAGCCACCCAGGCGCCCGTGGCCAAGCATTTCTTACGGGGTTAATTTATTAAGTGAGCTAATGTGTTGTAAAATACTTTGCATAGTGTTTGTGATATAGTGTGCTCAATAAATGCTGTTATTTAAGGGAGAGGTGAGAGACATACTCAATTTATGACACTGTAAAAAGGAATATGAGTTAGTGGGAAACTGGTTTTGAGTGTTACATACTTGTTTGCCTTTGTGACTTCTACTTACCACAACTGTGATAGCAGAGCAGAGCCATGGAAGCAGTTGAAGCCTGTAACCGGGGCAATGACAAACCAATAGCACCCACTAGTCAGTTTGTTATTCCAGCAGAGGGCACTTACAGTGGGTTGGGAACTGCCATGCTGGTAAAAAGCAAAAGATGTAAAGTGAGGAGACAGCAGAGTTCCTCTTGGGACAAATTTTTGGGGAGGAATTCCATCTCAGGAGAAACTATGAACAAAACGAACATTCCTAAGGTCCTGAAGACTTGGTTTCATGAATCGTGCCAGCATTAGGTGATAGAAAGAGCCTGCCTCCTTCCTTGGCAACCTAACCTGCTCTCCACTGTCCACTGCATCTTAACCATTCCTGGTCTCCTTGGCCAGTTGTACTGCTGGTTTCTACTTCGGGCTTCTTTCTAAGCATAAGCCTCAGACAAATAGGAAGCAGTTGTTTAAAAAGAACAGAACTGGGAGGAAAGTCTTGGATTCTAGTCCTGGCTCTTATACTATGTTGTATGGCCTTTGGTAAGTCTGGATCTTAGTTTCCTCCAAAATAAAATGAGGGGGGGGGATGCATTTAATTTGCTCTCATTCTGTCATTCCATGCATGAATCTGTGACATTTTGTGGTAGAGAATAAGGATGAGGAAATAGCACATTCTCTGTGAGCCACTTGAAGCCAAGAGGTTGTTTGTTTTTTAAGATTTTATTTATTCATTTGAGACATAGAGATACAGACAGAAAGAGAGAGCATGAGCAGGGGCAGAGGCAGACGGAGAGGGAGAAGCAGGCTCCCTGCCGAGCCAGGAGCCCTATGTGGGGCTCCAGCCCAGGACCCTGGGATCATGACCTGAGCTGAAGGCAGATGTTTAACCATCTGAGCCACCCAGGTGCCCCTGAAGCCAAGAGGTTGTATCTTTGTAGCTTTAGTACCTTAATACAGTATCTGTCAGTAACCATTGAAATTTGTGGATGAGAATAGCTTGAGATCCAGAAGACCCAGATTTGAATACAATTACTGGTACTGACTTTTGGTAACTGAGCAAATCTGATTCAAAGCACCTTAGGATCCTCCTCTGCAAAAAAGCTGGAATGAGATTTACAACAACCTTACACCTCTTCAGAATTAATGACTATGGGAAAATGTACAGTTGTGCAGATGAAAAGAACTCTGTTGGTTTCAAGATCCTGGATTATCCCAGTTAACTAAAATTTACTTCCTAGGCAGGTGCAGGATGAACATGTATTGCTTTGCCCTAATTTTAGACAAAGGACTATCGAGAATAGGCTGTGATTCTTTCATCCGCTTTACTTTTTGATGAGATTGTGCTGAAAGCTTTAGCCTGGTACAGTGATTCTCTCTGGCTAACAGTAATGCTGCCTTACCTGGCAGAAACAAATCAGTTTAAGAGCCCACTTGTTTCCTCTCTACAGACCAGGTTCAAGGCAACTGTCTCATTATGGCAGCTGAAATCCGGCAGAAATACTTAAGAGAACCGTGTCATAAAGCCCATTCTTTTTTAGCTGATTAAAAAAAGAATATAGGGATGCCTGGGTGGCTCAGTCGGTTAAGCGTCTGCCTTCGGCTCAGGTCATGATCCCAGGGTCCTGGGATCAAGTCCCGCATCGGGCTCCTTGCTCAGCGAGGAGTCTGCTTCTCCCTCTGCCTGCCACTCCTTCTGCTTGTGCTTTCTCTCTCTCTCTAATAAACAAATAAAATCTTAAAAAAAAAAAAAAAAGAATATAAACGTACAGCCCACATACTTGGTGTGCTATTAAAAATATGGTTCCTTTATTCCTTAGTTAATAAAAAATTCATTCATACCATTACTCATCTTTAAAAAGAAATATCAAAATGTTTCAGTTAGAGACATTTAACCATTTGTAATTCTAAATGAAGTCATTTTCTTCTCCCCTCACCCCCCCACATTAGTGAGATTCCTGGGTTAGCACTCCAGAGACCGTTCTGGCCTACATATTTCCCAAGCTGTTTCTTCTGCCTGGTGAGATAAAAAGCAAGTGAGGGCAGTTTTCCCTATCAAGAGCAGCCGCTGCTTTGAAAAAGTCTTTCTTCAGGGTAAATCTCAGCCACACTCAAACCTGCCCAGTTCAGAGAGGGAGGGGCTGGGATAAAGATGTTGGTTTGCTGCCCTCTACAGGCTACACTCAGTGAGCTTGATTAGTTAGAGGAGGAAGTGAGGAATCCTTACGAATCTGAAAAGAAATGAAACAAGTTAATGCTGAATAAGCCGAAAGTGGGTGGGGGTAATGATTGTGAACATCACCCTACCATTCAAAAAACAACAGCATTTAGGGCATGTAAAGATGGCCACCATATCTTGTTAAGTGAAAAAAGGATGTGATAAAACATGCACAGCCTTGGGGCACCAGGGTGGCTCAGTCGGTTAAGCGTCTGCCTTCAGCTCAGGTCATGATCCCAGCGTCCTGGGATCGAGCCCTGCATCGGGCTCCCTGCTCAGCAGGAAGCCTGCTTCTCCCTCTCCCACTCCCCCTGCTTGTGTTCCGTTTCTTGCTGTGTCTCTCTCTGTCAGATAAATAAAATCTTAAAAAAAAAAATGCATTTAAAACATGCACAGCCTTGATTTGATTTTTGTAAAAACAGATTTAGTTATACCAGAATGTTAAACTTTGGTTATCTTGGTGGTAGGATAATGGGTAATTTGTATTATATTCTTTTTACTTATATGTATCATCTTTTCTTTTTTTTAAGATTTTATTTATTTATTGGTCAGAAAGAGCACAAGCAGGGGGAGCGGCAGGCAGAGGGAGAAGCAGGCGTCCTGCTGAGCAAGGAGCCCGATGCGGGACTCGATCCCACGACCCTGGGACCATGACCCGAGCTAAAGGCAGCCGCTTACCCAACTGAGTAACCCAGGCATCCCTATCTGTATCATCTTAACGTTCTACAACAAATATATATTATTCTAGTAATAAGAACCTAGTTAAAAAAAAAAAAAAAAAGAACCTAGTTTTAAAAGTATATTAAAAAGTGTGTGTGGGGTACCTGGGTAGCTCAGATGGTTAAATATCTGCCTTCAGCTCAGGTCACCATCTCCAGGTCCTGGGATCGAGCCCCCATCGGGCTCCCAGGTCAGCAGGGAGTCTGCTTCTCCCTCTCCCTCTGCTTCTTCCCCTGCTTGTGCTCTCTGCCTCTCAAATGAATAAATAAAATCTTTTTTTTTTTTTTAAGAGAGAGACACAGCGAGAGAGGGAACACAAGCAGGGGGAGTGGGAGAGGAGAAGCAGACTCCCTGCCAAGCAGGGAGCCCGATGCAGGGCTTGATCCCAGGACCCCGGGATCATGACCTGAGCTGAAGGCAGACACTTAACGACTGAGCCACCCAGGCGCCCCTGAATAAATCTTTAAAAAAAATGTGTGTGTTGGGGCGCCTGGGTGGCTCAGTCAGTTGATCCTCCCAACTGTTGATCTCGGCTCAGGTCTTGATCTCAGAGTTGTGGGTTCAAGCCCCATATTGGGCTCCATGCTGGGCATGGAACTTACTACTTTAAAAAGTGTGTGTGCCAACGGGGCTTCTTTGTTTGCTAGTCATGTTCTCTTTCTTGATCTAGATGCTATATGTCTTCATCAAGCTGTCTATTTATAATACATGCTCTTCTCTGTATGTATAGTATACTTCAATTAGAAGTTTTTAAAATAGTATGTATAGTATACTTCAATTTATTTATTTTTTTAATTAATTAATTTATTTATTTATTTGACAGAGACACAGCGAGAGAGGGAACACAAGCAGGGGGAGTGGGAGAGGGAGAAGCAGCTTCCCGCAGAGCAGGGAGCCCAATGCGGGGCTCGATCCCAGGATCTGAGCTGAAGGCAGACGCTTAACGACTGAGCCACCCAGGCGCCCCTAGTATACTTTAATTTAAAATAGTTTTAAAATATGGGGCACCTGGGTGGTTCAGTCGGTTGGGAGTCTACCTTCAGCTCAGGTCATGATCCCGGGGTCCTGGGATCGAGCCCTGCATCGGGCTCCCTGCTCCGCGGGAAGCCTGCTTCTCCCTCTCCCGCTCCCCCTGCTTGTGTTCCTTCTCTTGCTGTCTCTCTCTCTGTCAAATAAATAAATAAAATCTTTAAAAAAAAATAGTTAAAAAAAAATTTTTTTTAAAGATTTTATTTATTTATTTGAGAGAGAGAGAATGAGAGAGAGCACATGAGAGGGGGGAGGGTCAGAGGGAGAAGCAGACTCCCCACCGAGCAGGGAGCCCGATGTGGGACTCGATCCAGGGACTCCAGGATCATGACCTGAGCCGAAGGCAGTTGCTTAACCAACTGAGCCACCCAGGCGCCCAATAGTTTTAAAATATCAAAAATAGTTCCTGCTTTTAAAGGAACTCTCATTCATTGGTGGGAATGCAAAATGGTGCAGCCATTTTGGAAGGCAGTTTGTCAGTTGCATACAAAACTAAACATATTTTTATCATACAATTCAGCAATCTTGCTCCTTGGTATTTACCCAGATGAGTTGAAAACTTATGCCCACACAAAAACCTACACACATTTACAGCAACTTAATTCATAATTGCCAAACACTTGGAAACAACCAAGATGTCAGTAGGTGAATGATAAATACTGTGTTGAGTGTACAGGGCAAAGGGGTGTATGGGACACTGTACTTTCTGCTCAATTTGGCTGTGAACCTAAAACTACTCCAAGAATTTAAGTCTTTTTTTTTTTTTTTAATTTTATTTATTTATTTGTGAGAGAGAGAGAGAGCACGCACAAGCAGGGGGAACAGCAGGGCAGAGGGAGAAGCAGGCTCCCTGCTGAGCAAGGAGCCTGACGAGGGACTCAATCCCAGGACCCCGGGATCATGACATGAGCTGAAGGCAGCCGCTTAACCAAGTGAGCTACCCAGGCGTCCCAAAGTCTTTTTTTTTAAGTGGTTGTACTTCTCTAGAAATATACTAAAAACTATTGAATTGTATAAATGAGTAAACTGTATGGTTTGTGAACTATATCTCAATAAAGCTTAAATGGTTGTATTCATAGATTAAAATGCATGTGAAGTACCAACACATGCTACAGTATGGATGAACCTTGAAACTATTATGCCAAGTGGAGAAGCCAGATACAAAAGGCCACAGATTATATGAAATGTCTAGAATAGGCAGAAATAGATTAGTTGTTGCCAGGGACTGGGGAGTGGTAGTGGGGTTGGGAGTGGGGAGTGACTGTTAATGGTTATAAGGTTTCTTCTTGGGATGATGAAAATATTCTGGAATTAGACAGTGGTGAGTAATGTTCAACTTTGTGAGTGTACTATAAGACAACTTAATTGTATACTTCGAAAGGGTGAACTTTATGGTATGTTTATTATGTCTCAATAAAGCTGTTATCTTTTTAAAACGGGAAAAAAGCAATGGCAGATTTTGAAAGATTATCTTAAATAGCAATGTGCCAGGGTGCCTGGGTGTCTCGGTCAGTTAAGTGTCCAACTCTTGATTTCAGCTCAGGTCATGATGTCAGAGGTGTGAGATTGTGCCCTGCCTCAGCTGGGGCTGGGCGTGGAGGCTGCTTAAGATTCTCCCCCTCCCTCTCAAATAAATTAATTAAATAAATAGCACGTACTTACAACTGGAACATCATAGTCTTTCAAGCATTATAGTTTAATGCACATTAAAAAATTAGTTTTAATTAAGGGGCATACAGTGGGGCTCAGTTGGTTCAGCGCCTGACTCTTGATTTTGGCTCAGGTCATGATCTCAGAGACATGGGATCAAGCCGGGAGTGGGGCTCCACACTCAGTAGAGAGTCTGCTTCTCTCTCTCTCTCCCTCTCTCTTTGCCCCTCCCCCACTCACACTCTTTCTCTAAAATAAGTAAATAAATGAAAAAGTTTTTAATTAATAGGGGCTCCTGGGATGGCTCAGTCGTTGGGCACTGACTTTTGCTTTCGGCTCACATCATGATCTCAGGGTTTTGAGATCGAGCCCCAAGTCCAGCTGTGCGCTCAGCGGGGAATCTGCTTAAGAGTCTTCCCCTCTACCTCTCCTTCAGCCCCTCCCCACCCCCTGCTCACATGCTGGCGTGCTCTCTCTCAAATAAATAAAAATCTTTTAGAAATAATAAAAATTATAAAATAAAAAATAAATTTTTTTTAAAAGATTTTATTTATTTGACAGAGAGAGAGATAGCGAGAGCAGGAACACAAGCAGGGGGAGTGGGAGAGGGAGAAGCAGGCTTCCCGCAGAGCAGGGAGCCCGATGTGGGACTCGATCCCAGGACCCTGGGATCATGACCTGAGCTGAAGGCAGACGCTTAACGACTGAGCCACCCAGGCGCCCCAAAAATAAATTTGTTTTAATTAAGAATGGCCATACATTAAGAAGCCTATATTTTGTCAGTGCTCTCAGTTGAATGGGAACTGGAAACTTATCTAAGAAAGCATTTACCATTTCATTTACAGTGAAAGTCCCAGCTTCAGGCTCAGGATCACCAGGCTGTGGTCAGCGTGGGTCTATCAAAGGCAGCAACTCTCCGCAAGGAGAATCCAGTTTCAGACATGCCAAGTCGTCCGACCGTGTGGGCCCAATGTTAAGTATTGCAATTGGGAGCTGCTTCTCTCGGGCAGTGAGGATAAACCTGTAGCCAGAGTACACCTTACAAGAAGAAGACACCCGTGAGAACTCTCGATGCAGGAAGACAGAAACCAGACAGGGAGCCTCTCCGGGGTTCTCCATCCCACAAAAGGGGCAGTCACCACCCTGACCAAGTCAGATACCTGCAAGGACGAGCCCACTACCAAGAGGGAGTCCGCTTCTTTTACACGCCTGCGCACAAAGTCAACCTTGTCAGGGTTCACTGTGTCCCCGAAGAAAACGACATCTGGTTTCAGGGGGCCTCCACATCGGGCGCAGGACGGGACCTGAAAGCTCTGCACCTGCCCCTCTGTGAGAAAGACGTCGCCATCCGGAGCCAGGCCGTGGGCCTCGGCACTCCAGGTGCGGTTCAGGGCTTCAAAACGCTCCTGCAGCACCGCCCGGGGAATCTGTTCACCACAGTCCAAGCAAAGGACCCTGAAACCGAAGAAGAGTCTACTGAATGGTTGGTCCCAAGGAGGCACGAAGCTGCCAAAGACGTCTCATCCCCGACCATTTTTAACTGCTCTGACAGTGCTTGTCATTCCTAACATGCAGTCTTTCCCCCATGTTAGAATACCTTCTCATGACCTCTTTACCACCATTTCTCACTTTCCTTCTGCTGCCAACCTGTAGAACAAGGAGTGTACATCTGTTTTCCTAACTCATGCTCCCTGCTTACCCTGTCAGCTCATTTTTATCCGTAGCACAACTGCAAATGACTTCCTTAGTGCCCAAACCCATGCTTTTCCCTTCCTCCCCTCCTCCTCTGGGGGGATGGTCGCTGTCCATCACCATCGTCTCTTTAAAAACGCTCTTCCCCCTGGTGTCCTTACCCAGTGTCTTCTGTTTCTCTTCTTACCTCTCTAATCATGAGCTCCATGAGACCAAGAACTTTGAGTCCTTTGACCACTGTGCTATACCCACCACCTAGAACAGTGCCTACAGACAGTGGGCATTCACTAAATAGCTGCTAAAAGAAAGAACAGAAAGTGGTTTAGTTGGTTTCTTCTCTAATCCTCAATCTTCCAGACAGTTTTCTTTCTACCTTCTCCACCCTGGGGACTCCGTTTTCACTGCCACAATGCCTCTGTGCTAATAGTCCCCTCTCCCGTACAGGACTCCACTCCTGCTCGGTCTCCCAAACTCCAAGTCATCTTGACTGTCCTGTCCAGCTTATCTCTGTCTTCACCCGCCCCTCCCCAATTTCTCTATCACCATCCTTTCTCCAGTTACTTGGGCAGGAACCCTTGGAAAAACTACTCATTTTGCTCCTTTTTATCTAGTCAGCCATCAGATTATGTTGATTATTTTACTTAAAAGGCCCCCATTAGGGGCACCTGGCAGGCTTAGTTGGTGGAGCATGTGACTCTTGGTCTCACGGTTCTGAGTTAGAGCCCCACGTTGGGAATAGAGATTACTTAAAAAAATAAAATCTTAAAAAAAAAAGGATGGGGCGCCTGGGTGGCACAGTCGTTAAGCGTCTGCCTTCGGCTCAGGTCATGATTTCAGGGTCCTGGGATCAAGCCCTACATCGGGCTCCCTGCTCTGTGGGAAGCCTGCTTCTCCGTCTCCCACTCCCCCTGCTTGTATTCCCCCTCTCGCTGTGTCTCTCTCTATCAAATTAATAATAATAATAATAAAAATCTTTAAAAAAAATTGTAAGAGGGGCGCCTGGGTGGCTCAGTTGGTTGGGCGACTGCCTTCGGCTCAGGTCATGATCCTGGAGTCCCTGGATCGAGTCCCGCATCAGGCTACCTGCTCAGCAGGGAGTCTGCTTCTCCCTCTCCCACTCCCCACTCTTGTGCTCTTTCTCTCTCTCACTCTCTCTCTCAAATAAATAAATAAAATCTTTAAAAAAAAAAAAAATTGTAAGAGGGCGCCTGGGTGGCTCAGTTGGTTGGGCGACTGCCTTCGGCTCAGGTCATGATCCCGGAGTCCTGGGATCGAGTCCCACATCGGGCTCCCGGCTCAGCGGGGAGCTTGCTTCTCCCTCTGACCCTGTCCCCTCTCATGCTGTTTCTCTCTCTCTCTCAAATAAATTAATTAATTAATTAAAAAAAAAAGATTAAAAAAAAAATTGTAAGAGACAGGGAGAGAAGGGGTAAAGTAGACATGATAAAATCTTTGTATCCGAGCGATGGTACATGGGAGTTCATTATACTACTTTCCTTTTAGGGACATTTGAAATTTTCATCATGAAAAGGAGGTTTTAATGGACTCGTGGCCATCATTAGCTCTCGAATTCTCCTGATACCACCTGGGTCTAGATCCTTCAGGCTGACCTCCCTGAGCCACTCTTTCTAATCCTGTGTGGCTTTCCTCAAATGCTATTTTTATCATACTACTTTCTTGCTCAGAAACCACTAATATTCCCCTTTGGTCTCTCACGACAGACCCAAATTGCACTGCGCTATTTTCAGACGCACCCATGATTTGGGTCTAGCCTTCCCAGACAATCTGATTTCATAGTAAGTCTCCACAGAGGCCAGGCCAGACTCCTCTGGGCTCTACAAGTCCTCTTCATTTAGAAAGCCCTCTCCCTTCTTTTGCCTAGTCAGACCAGAGCTAGGCTTAAGCCCCACCTTTCCCATAAAAGCTTGACCAATTACTCCAAGCTTTACTAAATCGGTTTCTCTGAACTCGCAAAACATGTCTATCAAGGACCACATAATTTAACAATTGTGTGGAGTTGTTTGTTAAACATGTTATTTTTTGGATCCCTCCCCCACCCCAAAGAGATCACAAAGTTCTCACATTTAAAGTAGACCATGTTTTATACTTTGGTTTTGACCCCTCCGCACCACCAAGTAGCACACTACGTGTTGTAGGCACCCAGTAAATATTTTATAATTGGCAGGAGGATCTCTGGGGCTTCAAAGTAAGAAAATGGTTTCCAATTAGCTTCAAGTTATTGCCAGGACTCCATGTCTTCATTCCATCAATGTTTATTGGGTTCTGACTATGCTGGGCTGTACTGTGTTCTTTGTCTAGGCACCAGAGATCCACCAGCTTCTAGCCTATGTTGTTGGCACTTTGCTCATAGTCCCCTCAAGACACTACAGGCCACTTGCATACAGTTCTCTTACAAGCAACTTCTTGCCTCTCTCTTAGGGTGTTCACTGGCCAAGGAAGCCTTCTCCAGAGTTGCAGAGGTTAGTGTTAGGGAGTTATTTCACCTAGACTGACCCTCAACCAATGAGGGATGGGATATGATGGACAAAAATGCCCCAGCTTCCAAGACCTGCAGTGAGACAATTCTGAAGCATGCTCTAGACAGAGGGCTCCTCAAAGGATTGAGCGTCAGCTCCCCAAAGCAGCTCCCCAAAGCATTCATTAATTTACCCTTTTCTTGGCTTTTCTTCCCTACCCTGTTTCATTTCCCCACTGAGTTTGTTCCTCAGTGAGTTTGCTGGGATTGACTCCAAAGTAAACAACTTGCTCCAAATCCTTTTCCCAAGGTCTAATGAAAACGACAGTGATCAAGATAGCCAAGGTCTCTGCTCTTAGGAGCACACACTTCTGCATTCAAACTATTTAGACCTTCCTGCACCTGTGCATGCATCCATGGAGTTCTGTCAGGCGCTGACTCCCTGCTTTCGTGTGCAAGGCATCCACATTTTGGGTCACCAACCAGTACAGCTTTCCGAGTCTCTCCCAGTTGCTCAGAGCCCAATGTGCAGGGTTAGGCTGGAGGGAAGAGAATCGAGGCCAGCCTACAAAGTTTCTCGCCCAGTACCGCTGGCGGATTGGAGCACTCCGTAGAAAATCCCCATGCTGAATGGGTTTCTGGTCAGTGCGGGCGTAGAGTCCCACCTTTTCTGACCTGTAGTCTGGGATCCCCGACTCAGTGGAGATTCCTGCCCCAGTCATCACTAGGAGTCTCTTGGAAAGAGTGATGAAGCGCTGTAACTCTTTGACCTTCTCAGGGTCCAGAGGAGGACTTGGTGGCACAAATAACCGAATGGATCCACGTGAGCACTGCCGGCTGATGTTCACCATCCAGTGACCTTTTGCTGCCCTGAAAGTCAACCCAAAACTCATCCTCATTCTAGAGAGAAAGAAACCTGATGTGAGAAACCGGATTTTAAAAACTAAAGCAACCAGGGGCACCTGGGTGGCTCAGTCATTAAGCATCTGCCTTCGGCTCAGGTCACAGTCCCAGGGTCCTGGGATCAAGCCCCACATCGGGCTCCCTGCTCAGCGGGAAGCCTGCTTCTCCCTCTCCCACTCCCCCCTGCTTGTGTGTTCCCTCTCTCGCTGTGTCTCTCTCTGTCAAATAAATAAAATCATAAAAAAAAAACCTAAAGCAACCAGGGGCACCTGCGTGGCTCAGTCGCTTAAGCGTCTTGCCTTTGGCTCAGGTCATGATCTCAGGGTCCTGGGATCGAATCCCGTGTCAGGCTCCCTGCTCATAGGGGAGCTTGCTTCTCTCTCTGCCCCTCCCTCCTGCTCTGCTCTCTCTCAAATAAGTAAATAAAATCTTAAAAAAAAAAAAAAAAACTAAAGCAACCAAAAAAAACCCCCCAAAACAACAAAAAAAACCGAGGCAACCATCAACTGATGAATGAATGAACAAAATGGGGCCTATCCATACAATGAAATGTTATTTACCTATAAGCATGAAGTTCTGATATAGGCTACAAAATAGATAAATATTGAAAACATTATGCTAAGTGTAAGAATTCAGTCACAAAAGGACAAATACTGTATGACTCCACTTATATAAATTGTCCAAAATACACAAATATATAGAGACAGAAAGTAAATTAGTAGTTGCCAGAGACTGGAAAGAAGAATGTATCAAAACGTTATTCTTTTTTTTTTTTAGTCTTTCCCTTTAGACTTTTTTTTTTTTTTCAAGATTTTTATTTATTTATTTGACAGAGAGCGAGACACAGCGAGAGAGGGAACACAGGCAGGGGGAGTGGGAGAGGGAGAAGCAGGCTCCCCAATGAGCAGGGAGCCCAATGTGGGACTCGATCCCAGGACCCCAGGATCATGATCTGAGCCGAAGGCAGATGCTTAACAACTGAGCCACCCAGGCGCCCCTGGACTTGTTAATTTCTGAAGCTGGGTGATGGATCCGTGGATTAGGTTCTTATATCATTCTATTTCCACAATAAAAAAAATTGTTTTTAAGATTTTATTTGAGAGAGAGCGAGCAGAGCAAGAGAGAGAACACAAGCAGGGAGAGGTGCAGAGGGAGAAGCAGACTCCCTGCTGAGTAGGGAGCCCTATTTGGGGCTTGATGCGGGGCTTGATCCCGGGAAGCTGGGATCATGACCTGAGCCAAAGGCAGATGCTTAACTGCCTGAGCCACCCAGGCACCCCCCAATAAAAAATTTTATATATTTATTTATTAAAGTAGGCTCCACACCTAATGTGGGGCTTGAACTCACGATTCTGAGATCAGGAGTCACGTGCTCTACGGAATGAGGCAGCCAGCTGCCTCCACAATAAAAATTAAGAAAAAAAATTAAGAGGGGCGCCTGGGTGGCTCAGTTGGTTAAGCGACTGCCTTCAGCTCAGGTCATGATCCTGGAGTCCCGGGATCGAGTCCCGCATCGGGCTCCCTGCTCGGCGGGGAGCCTGCTTCTCCCTCTGACCCTCCCCCCTCTCATGTACTCTTCTCTCATTCTCTCTCTCTCAAATAAATAAATAAAATCTTTAAAAAAAAAGAAAAAGAAAAAAAATTAAGAAAAAATTAAGAAAAAAATTCCAGGGCGCCTGGGTGGCTCAGACGGTTAAGCATCTGCCTTTGGCTCAGGTCATGATCCCAGGGTCCTGGGATCAAGTCCCACATTGGGCTCCTGGCTCAGTGAGGAGCCTGCTTCTCCCTCTCCCTCTGCCTCTCTCCCTGCTCATGCTTTCTCTCTCTCTCTCTCTGTATCTGTTTCTCGAATAAATAAAATCTTTAAAAAAAAGAAAAAATAATTCTTTAGAGGGATGTCTGTTTTGTAGATGTCCTAGTATGCCCAGAACATCGGAAGTGCCGAAATGCCGAAAGCCATGAGATAAAGGAAAATGCTTGTATCTTTTGAATATTTTTTTTAAAGATTTTATTTATTTATTTGAGAGAGAGAATGAGATAGAGCATGAGAGGGAGGAGGGTCAGAGGGAGAAGCAGACTCCCCGCTGAGCAGGGAGCCCGATGTGGGACTCGATCCTGGGACTCCAGGATCATGACCTGAGCCGAAGGCAGTCGCTCAACCAACTGAGCCACCCAGGCGCCCCTAAATATTTTAAAGGCTTAAGAGATATGATCAGCAAAGTGAGGAGAATAAAAAAGAATGGAGCTGAGAGCCGGACATGAGGCTCGATCCCAGGACCGAGATCATGACCCAAACCGAACGCAGATGCTTAACCATCTGAGCCACCCAAGCACCCCAAAATATCTATTTTAAAAAAGGAATGGGGGCACCTGAGTGGCGCCATCAGTTAAGCGACCCACTCTTAGTTTCAACTCAGGTCTGATCTCTGGGTGGTGAGATTGAGCCCCAAGTCAGGTTCTGCACAGGGTGTGGAGCCTGCTTAAGATTCTCTCTCTCCCTCTTCCTCTACTCCTCCCTGCACCCTCCCTGCACATGGACTCTCTTTCTCCCTCTCAAAAAAAAAAAAAAATAATAATAATAATAGTAATAATAAAAAGGAAATGTAAAATACAAATTGGTAAAGCAGGATTCTAGCATAACATGAGGCCTATTCTGCTTGTCCCAGTAAAACCTGGCTGGTCAGAAATAAGGGGCATCTGGGTGGTTCAGTCAGTTAAGCATCTGCCTTTGGCTCAGGTCACGATCCCAGCGTCCTGGGATCGAGCCCACTTTGGACTCACTGCTTATCAGAGGAGTTTGCTTCTCCCTCTCCTCTGCCCCTGCTCTGTACTCTCTCTCTCTCAAATAAATAAATAAAATCTTTTCAAAAAATGTCTTGTGCGCCTGGGTGGCTCAGTCGTTAAGCATATGCCTCCGGCTCAGGTCATAGTCCCAGGGTCCTGGGATTGAGCTCTACATCAGGCTCCCTGCTCCGCGGGAAGCCTGCTTCTCCCTCTCCCACTCCCCCTGCTTGTGTTCCCTCTCTCACTGTGTCTCTCTCTGTCAAATAAATAAATAAAATATTTTTAAAAAATAAATCAAAAAATCAAAAATTTCTTATAAAATTCAAAATATTAATGGTCTACTCCCAGTATCTTTTAAATCCCTTAATAGCTCATTGTTATTCTATGACTACATCTATTGACGTCTCCATTGGAGGACTGCCTTTATAATTTTAGTTACTACCATCCCTTGGGAGACCGTGTGTTCCATAAACCTACTTCCCATTTTATAAATCAGAAGTATTTCTTCATAAACTGAAGAGCACATTTGAATTCTGGTATGCCAGGTGTTGATGAAGTCGTTGCTCAGACATTTCAGACTTATGATTTTTATGGCTTTTTATTTATTAATGTAACTAAGCACATGCACATCTTTTATTCTATCTTTCCCATATTCTTTTAGTTTACCCTCAATCGCAAACACTGCTACTTGGACACAGCAGAAGAGGCCTGATACAACATTCTACCCCAGCTTTCTAGCTGTAAAAACAAGGCTTTGCCATATTACTTAACATAATGCAGAAATTCTCTAGTGATACGCACCCCTTATGTAAACATTATCTTACGCTTGGCTTTCCAGATCTAGGTTAGGACCCCGATGTCTCTAGACCTTTCACAGCAACACCTGAACCGCTAAAAATAGACTGGACTCCTGAGACAAAAGGGCTAGGGACACCCCGCTGAAAACACGCTCTATTGGAACAGCAGCTCTCTGCCAGGTACCACCAAACGGTAAAGAGTTAATACGCTATCTCTTACAGCAAATCCACAACTTCTAGAAACCCCGCAGCCCACACAGAGCAACTCACCTGTCACAGCTTAAACGACACTTTACGACTGACGGTGCAACCGACTGGCTGCTTTTGCATTTTGGGAAATGTAGTTCACGAGGCTGAAATGATGCATGAAAAACTACAAGTCCCACAATCCTCTGGGCTTCACAGTTGAGGGGCCCAGATTGTCTGGTAGCGCCACCTGTTTGCCTTTCATGGTCAGAAGTTTTGAACCTTGGTTGGAGATGGGTCGCTGTCTTCTAAACTCACATGCCCTGTCCATTTGAGAGAAGTGGTTGGAGTTTCCACACCAGTGTGCTCAGTGCAAATAGTACATCCAAACAGCACTAAGTTAGGAATTCATTGTTAAGAGAGAAGCTTTAATAATGGATCTAGAATAGGCTCATACTCAACTTCACTGATTATGATCCTTTGCACTCACCATGAGGAAATCAAGTTCCCACCTTGCAGTGGGTTGTGAACAAACATCTGAAATATTGATGTTTTTGGAGTTTATGTGAACAACTAACGCCACATATAATATACAGGGAATAATGTGTTTACCCACTTGGCTTCTCCAATTTTATTTCTCATTTTGTGTTTTTATTAAATTAACCAACACAATGCCTTCCCAGACATTCTGACTTAATTGGCCTGGGAAGATGCCTGGGCATCAAGTCGGTTTACAAACTTCCCAGTTGTTTCTAATATGTAGTCAAAGAGAAACTTTGCTCTCCAGCCTCATCTAAATAAGATATCAATTTGTGTTTAGAACATAACCAAAGGCCAGCTAACCCAGACCTTGAAGAACACCTAAGGAACCACTTCCCCCATTTTAAGATAAACTGAAGACCAGAAGTACTGTAGTATAGAAGCTGGAGTCAAAGTTGGACTCCTGGTCCTCTCATTGAATGTGTGGAGGTAAATATTGGTAAAGTCACCCAGTTTAGTAGTTGTGGGTAGGACACCCAGCAACAGCTCAGATAGGGCACCCTGCTGGGATAATCACCTAACATGATAGCTTTTTGTGCCTTAGTTAACCTGACCACACTGGCCGAAAGAAAGGACCAAAATGTAGACTGGAAATTTTTACTAAGTCAAAAGAATTGTAATCAGGAACATTTTCTGCACTTATGGGTATTTGACCAAAACCTATTAAAACGACAAAACATTGACATTCCCCCAGCCAAATTTTATTATGAAAAATATCCAGCCTGTATTGTTTTTTCAGTTTGCCAAGTGGAATGAGCATCATTAATTGAGAGACTGCCTAATACAGGGCTATTGTGCTTTTAGGCCCCAAAGAATCTCATGTTCCGGGGAGAAGTTAGCTGACTTTTCAATTTTTCTTAGTGCTGGAAAGTCATCCGTGGAGGATGAAGTCATCCAAGGCAGTTAGTGAAACACACAATTTCACCACACCAGGAATCAATGACTAAGTCTTTGATTGGACCAAAGTAAAATAATCTAAAATAAATCAAGTTGCTAATCTTTTTTTCCGCTAATTTTTCTTACCCTGTGGGAAAAAAAATAGCTACACATCAGCATCAAACAGGACTTTTAAAGATGTCATTTTTGCATCTAGATGATGACTATGTTCACTGAATAACACTTTGAACATTTTTGAATTTTTTGAAATTTTGAAAAAATTTTTTTAAAGATTTTATTTTTAGGGGTGCCTGGGTGGCTCGGTCGGTTAAGTGGCCAACTCTTGATCTCAGCTCAGGTCTTGATCTCAGGGTTGTGGGTTTAAGCCCTGTGTTGGGCTCCATGCTGGGCGTGGAGCCTACTTTAAAAAAAGGGTGGGGGATGCCTGGGTGGCTCAGTACTTAAGTGTCTGCCTTCAGCTCAGGTCATGATCCCAGAGTCCTGGGATCGAGTCCTAGGATTGAGTTCTGCATTGGGCACTCTGCTCAGCGGGAAGCCTGCTTCTCCTTCTCCCACTCCCCCTGCTTGTGTTCCCTCTCTCGCTGTCTCTCTCTGTATCAAATAAATAAATAAATAAAATCTTTAATAAAAGGGGCACCTGGGTGGCTCAGTCGTTAAGCATCTGCCTTAGGCTCAGGTCATGATCCTAGGGTCCTGGGATAGAGCCCCGCATCAGGCTCCCTGCTGGGGGTGGGGGCTGCTTCTCCCTCTCCCACTCCCCCTGCTTGTGTTCCCTCTCTCGCTGTGTCTCTCTGTCAAATAAATAAATAAAATCTTTAAAAAAAACAAAACTTGCTTTAAAAAAAATCTTAAAAAAAAAGTCTCCCCCCAACTGAGCCAACCAGGCACCTCTCATATTTGAAATTTTTTATAATAAAACGTTCGGGAGCGCCTGGGTGGCTCAGTCAGTGAAACATCTGCCTTCGGCTTGGGTCATGATCTCAGGGTCCTGGGCATGGGAAGAACATGCAACTCTTGATCTTGAGGTCAGGAATTCGAGCCCCACATTGGGTGTAGAGATTACTTAAATAAATAAACTTAAAAAAAAAAAAAAAAGCCAGGGTCACCTGAGTCACTCAGTTGATTAAGTCTCTGCCTTTGGCTCAGGTCATGATTCTGGGGTCCTGGGATCGAGCCCCATGTCGGGCTCCCTGCTCAGCTGGGAGCCTGCTTCTCCCTCTCTCTTGCCCCCCCAACCCCCCTCTTGTGCTCTCTCGCGGGTGCTCTTTCTCTCAAATAAATAAATAAAATCTTCAAAAAAAAAAAAAAAGAAGCCAGACACAAAATATTATATGATTCTGCTTATATGAGGTACTGAGAGGAGTCAAATTCGTAGAAACAGAAAGTAGAATAGAAGTTGCCAGGGGCTGGGAGAGGGAGGAATGGGGAAGGGGAGTTAGTGTTTAATGGGTACAGAGTTTCAGTTTGGGATGATGAAAAAGTTTTGGAGAGGTAGAAGTGATGATGGTTCCAAAGAATAAATGTACTTAATGCTACTGAACTGTATAGTTAAAAATGGTTAAAAGGAGGGGCACCTGGGTGGCTCAGTTGGTTAAGCGACTGCCTTCGGCTCAGGTCATGATCCTCGAGTCCCAGGATCGAGTCCCGCATCGGGCTCCCTGCTCAGCAGGGAGTCTGCTTCTCCCTCTGACCCTCTACCCTCTCATGTGCTCTCTCTTTCTCTCATTCTCGCTCTCTCAAATGAATAAATAAATAAAATCTTAAAAAAATGGTTAAAAGGTAAATTTTATGTTATATATAGTTTATTCCAATTAAAAAAAAAACTATTTTGGAGATGATAGTTACGCTGTGAATCAGCAGCCAAGTGAACAGCATGCTGACACAGCCCACTTTTCATCGGCCCCAATCACTCTATGAATGAAGTATTAGCATGTTCCCTCCCATAATGCTTTGCTTCATTCTCCATCCAAATTTGGTTAAGGAAATCAAGAAACAAACCTTCAGAAATAGCTTATGCATCTTCGAGAGATCTTCATACGTTAGTATAATTTTCAACCAAAGAATAATTGATGGTTTTTCCATGAGACTCAAACTCGCCTTTCTGTAATAGGAACCTTGCCTATTGGGGATGATGAGTAGGGGGCGTTGGTGGTTAGCTTTGCGCAGTGGCAGTATCGTAGCCAATGAGGTTTATCCGAGGCGCGATTATTGCTAATTGAAAACTTTTCCCAATACCCCGCCGTGACGACTTGAAATATAGTCGGCATTGGCAATTTTTGACAGTCTCTACGGAGACTGATGTATCTTGGTTCTGAAGGAAAGATTCTTATTCTAGCTTTGTTTACATAGTTTAAGAATAAATATTAAAGTCTGAAATCACTGCTGACCGCATTCTTTGAAAAAATCGTGTTTTTCTTTATTTGTTAGGAGTCGGGCTTAGGTAACAGAATTTTTTCTACAATACGTTTTTCTTTATTGCTTTTTATCCCGGTGACGTTGACCGGTGTACAAATATACCTGCTGTCGGTGGCCTTTGTCCAGTTGGTCATTTGCACCTTCGTCCGCAGCTACTCGTCTCCCTTCGGATGGTTCACTCTCGCTTTCCCTGCTTTCCCGCCGCTCAGGTTTTTTAGTCAAAATTCAAGTGTACGCCGGTCATCTCTGTGATGTCATCAATATTTGCATAAGATTACCCAGCATGCCCAGCGAATGTACTCTCGTTTCCAAAATCTGAATGTTCGACTCGAGATGATCCAACAGCAAGAAGCCTCCCGTGCAGGCGGATCTTAAGTATAACGGCTGGAAGCAGAACGCGTCATATCCACGAACTCGGTGGCAGTCGCTCACCCTCACTGAAAAGGTAGTTGTCATACGTGGGGGAGCAGGGTGCGTGCTCACGTTCTTCAGCTTTGCGCAGTGGCAGTATCGTAGCCAATGAGGTTTATCCGAGGCGCGATTATTGCTAATTGAAAACTTTTCCCAATACCCCGCCATGACGACTTGAAATATAGTCGGCATTGGCAATTTTTGACAGTCTCTACGGAGACTGAGTTTTGTTGTGTTAAAAAGAAAGTGTGTTATTTGTGGAGTAGCGTTTGTTAGTGGTTATTTTGCGTGCTTTTTATGGAGTTTTGTCTTTTTTTGGTTATAGGTTGGGCTTAATTTAGGTGCGAAGCTCTTGGGCGGGGTTCTCTTAAAACTTGGAAAGGATCTAATCTTCCGTTACAAAAATGGGAGAAAATATGAAGGTTTTTCTATCCAGATGGTTTTTAAAACAACCGGGAGACAAACGGACACATAGTACACTTAGTTATTCAGGTTCCATTGTGGAGTACCAGGCAGAGCTGTGCTTGAAACCAAGTCCCTTTATCTCTAGCACCGGCTGCCTCTAGTCTCGTTCTATGTTAAGCAGGCCATGAGTGTCCCCGGACAGAAGCCTTCGGAAGTCCTACCCTTGAGCATGGCAGATCCAGCTGGACATGCATGGGCCACCACCCATCAAACACTTCTCTGGTCTGTAAACAAAAGGATGTGGTTATTCAGGGCGAAGGTGGTGAACAGTCATCTATTGCTTCAAGGCGGCCCTGGGGAAAACCGCCCTGGAGGTAAATTTAGACCCGGTCCCTGCTTCAGGGAGCTCACAGTATTGAGACAGACCACAAACAAGTAAACGAACAGATAAGCTCGAAAA